CTGGCTCTACACGGACTCACTTCAATTCCCACTAAAATCCTAAAGCAAATTTCACTAAGCGGTCAGGCAGGCAATGCATGAGTGTGTTTCTCTAACCTTCGGTCCTCCGCTGTCCTCACGATGTTTGGTGTTCTCAGGTTCTCGGCGATAAATCCCGTATCCCATCCTTCGTCGCCAAATGTAAGGGGTTCGTTGTTGATCGTCGTGGGATTTCCGCCTCCGAGTACACGGCGTAAAGTAAGAGCAAGACAAGAAAAGAAGAGGACACAGAGCACACAAAAAAGACGTCCGTACACAAAGACTTCAACTCAAAAACCTCTCGTTTATTCTAAGAACGTGATCGAACGTCGTCGATCTTAACGTATACGTACGGATCCTAACGTAGCCGTTCGGACGTCGAACGGACGCTAACGTCGCCGTTCGAACGTCCGAAACGGCTTACCTAATGCAACATCTAAACACCTTATGTCATTCCCTACATATACATAATGGTGGTCAGTTATTTAACAGTTACAGAAAACTGTGGAAATGCATCTATAGCAGCGACACCTGTGCTGCATTGCAATGTGAACCAGTCAGAATTGCCCTGAGGAAGGTGACAGACGGTCTGAATAAAAGACTTGGTTGCGTAAAAAGAGTCTCAGTGTCTTACCAACCTGATGAAACTATTCACGGAATTGGAGACAGTTTAGGACTACAAAAGTACAGCAACTGAATACCAACCTACTGTTTAGTCACTTTTGTCCATGGTGACGAAGAGCATCTTATTCATAATCATATGCATGCCAGAAATAATTCGTCCCTTATTTACTTTGTGTCTGTTTGCCAGTCCGGAGAGTAGGTTGATAGCACGTGGTTGGAAGCTAGGAAGATTGATGACAGGCAGAATGACAGGAGGACAGAGGTAGGATGGGTGAATTCAGGAAGCCAAAGATTGCACACTTTCCAGAAGTCTGAAATCACCGATTTCTTGTATCATGTTTGAAGCACTAACAGCAGTAGAATTCACAACACATGTATGGATGAAGTAAAGTGGATTCATCTATCACATCTATCACACCGTAGTCATCCATCAGTAAGAAATATGGAACTACATACTTCCCGTTAAGAACATTTTATTCAGCCCGTCACGATAGTTTCGCTTTGTTGCCGGACTCCTGAGGGACGACTGTGGGGTGAAAGACGTCTGTCGGTTAGCTTGAGCACTGTACTTTTTACTACAGTACAGTTCACAAAGATTGATTAGTGAAACATTAGTTAATTGACCTACCAAAGAAGTTCATGGTAAGGGCGCCCCTCTGCGTCTGCGCAGTGCCGTGGTACTTGAGCTCGTCCGGTTGGTAGTAGGCGTAGTCGCTGACTGCGCATGTCTCGATGGCGGAGTTGGGCACGTGACTGTACCCGCCCGGCTCCTGACCACGTGCCCAGATCACGTGCATCGGTAACATGTCAATCCCGTGGTCCTGCGACTCGTCAGCTGGAGTAAAATGTTAGAGAACAAAATTAGTGATGTTAAAAGTCGGTTTGTAAATCTACAGACACCTACATCGTACATGAAAATACGTTACTATCATACAAGACAGACGAGAAAACTAGCTAACACTCACTGGACGAAATAGGTTCAGATACTTTCATATCCCGCCCCGTATCTTGCCGTATTCTTTACAAATACGAGCATATGCGCGGATGCGAAGTGTCCAGAATCCGTCGCATTCGCTCGTATATGCTCGTATTTGTAAAGAATACGGCAAGATACGAGTGGGATATGTAACGTGGTTTTACAATATACTAAATTTCCAAATACAATGCAGGTATGTATACAACTCAATGGCTTGTGCTGTCGGCTCATTTTCTGTTTATTTTGGTTTCGCGTTGTATTCGGCTTTCATTTTGCACCTGCAACCTAGTTTTAACAACACCTCACGCGACAAAATCCCGCGATTTATCCCGCAAAATCTCGAGAGATCCCGTACAAAATCCCGCGAGGAATGCCATGAAATCCCGCGAGAAACATCATGAAATCTCGAGAGAAACACCACCAAATCTCGAACGAAAGTATACCGCGAAATCTCGCGGAACTGTTACGGATGCATACAATATATCCTGTACTGTACATATACAAGATTAGCACAGGTATTGACCATCGATAAGGGGATTTTCTGACCCACCGTGAAGCTTCTTCCTGAACCTGGCCGTGACGATGCCGTTCTCCTCCTTGGCGATGGCAGCGGTGAGGCTGTCCCCTCCGCCGTCCCCGTACCACCTGTCCCGGCGGGGCGTGGAGCGGTCCCGGGTGTAACAGTCATCCACACGGTACACGGCCCCGCGGGTCACCACGATCACCATGTCTGTACAGTCCATAGCGTGGAGAGAACCGCCGCCTGATGATATGGGCAAAAAAGTGGTTGATGAAAATCGCTTGTCATATGTCGTGTTTGCCGTAAGTCCATGACAAACACATGTCATGCAAGTAGTACGCAGACTTTAACAAGGTAATTAAATTGCAGAAATTTAAAGCCCACAAAATCAATTTGGAAAAGAAAACATGGTTTCGTGGTGCCTAAAATCCTTCATGTAAATGGGTCGTAATTTTTTTTTGAGATCCTGATCTTGATCTTGATTAATATTCTATGAAGGTTTAGATAGATGAATCACATAACTTCTGACTTAAAGTTCTGACTTAATTGTTAGGTAGACGCCGCAAAATGAAGAGAACTTAGTAATAACTTTTTTCGGTACCATTTTCCGGCTCTCCCTCTGGCTCCGGTTCCGCTTCGGCCGTTCCTTCCGGTTCACTTTCCGGTTCTGCAGTTCCTTCCGGTTCACTTTCCGGTTCTGCAGTTCCTTCCGGTTCACTTTCCGGTTCTGCAGTTCCTTCCGGTTCCGGTTCTGCAGTTCCTTCAGGTTCGCTTTCCGGTTCCGGTGTGGCTTCCGGTTCACTTTCCGGCTCAGCTTCTGGCTCTGCCGTTACGCATTGGTCAGGGACGACGGACTCAGCTTCGGGTTCGGGCTCAGCCGAAGCCTGCCGAGTGTACCGCCGAACGCTGCGTGCAGACCGCTGGCTCTGCCGGGAAGTGAGGTTAAATGTGTTTGAAATATCGATTTATAGATGTGTTACGTGAAAGGCACATAACAAGAAAACTCAGCTACATCAGATGCATTTTGCAAAAGAACACGACGACGGCACAGAGAAATGACAATTGTTATGTACCTACGATTCCATCTCCAGCAATAAATTCATCAATACCTACCGTCACGAAAGGCTCCTCTTCCTCTGCCCTCGCAGGTTTGACACCCTCGTACCCAGCGTAGTTCACCGGAAAATCTCGACACGTGGAGGTTAGACCTGCCGAATAGCAGCGGACAAAAGAGGGGTGAAGAATTCTTTGTCGTGTGTGAAAACGTTTGCTCCGAAATGTATTGAAATTCACATCTTAGAGAGATAATGTCTGGTAACTTTAGGCAACAGTACAAAACAGTACAACACGGTAATGTGGCGATTATGAGACCTACCTGACGGCCTCCACCCCACCGCCACCCAGCCCATACCCTCTGCTTGTAGCATCACTTCTATCTCACTGGAGGTCTGGAAATAACGTTAAGGACATGCATCGATGATTATTGAGGGCCAAAGCGCACATATTCATTCAAAAAAGGTTATATAGAATAGATATTGGTGAATGTTTCGCAAAACCTGTCATGGGTACCCCGTTGTAATATTGTTCAACCAACAGATATAACAGATATAACACGTTGAATTGGAATGAATTGCTCGATTACATGAGAAAATGCATATGTAAAATACTACACCAAATATGTTAGTAACATGTCAGTTTTGAGATGTACCTGGATAATCTTCCAGTACAGGTCAAACCCGTCCGTCAGCTCCCTGTGGAAATAGTCACTAGTATCCACGTCAGTGGTGGTGATGTCAGAGCCTGTCAGGAGAAGAACAAAAAAGAAGAACTTTAGCATTGATCATGGGTAAGTTATGGATAAATTACTCAAGCTAAACTGAGCGGCAGAGAGAAAGTTACTACAGTTTATATTCTAGATAAAGTGACAACAAACGATACCAAAAGGTTAATCGATAAGCAGCAAGAAACATCTTTTCACCGAAATATGGAAATTTTCTGCCGTACTTCTTTTGGGTGTAATCCAGGAGCACAAAGCTAAGAAACTCCGGTCTGAGACCTAAAGTACACTTACTTGAGGAACAAGTCTCCCCGAACCAGCCTGCCTCGCAGAAACATCGGTTCATGGGGTAGTTCGTCATGGAGACTCTCACACACACGGCATGGTCACCACAGTCAGCGTCCGTCTCACAACCGTCTGGTAAGGATAACAGAGACTGTCACTGTTGATGGGGCAAAGTCATGATTCTGTGCCCATCGACTAGGCTACGTTACTGGTTGGTGGGTATTTTCAGCACCAAGGACAGCACCTAGTGAGTGGGGTGAATCACCTCTGATAACAATCGCTAGGTGTCGCTCTTCCATGGTCCACAGTTCCGGAGCGGCAACCTGTTCTCTTGTCATAGCGCGGGCCAACCCCCCCACCGCAAACTATGAGAATGTAAACAAACATGGATAACATCTGTGTTTACAGCTTTTATTAAGAAACACTGAAATGGTGAGATGAGCTCGAGGTAACTATGCAAGTCGGTGGGTAATATATACAACACAATGAAAAGCAACGATGTACATCTGTCAGGGTAGAGACTCCGATCTGGTAGAATCACCCATTCTACTGGTACAGATCCTGATTGGTCGTGTAGATTTTGAGGTATTCCCTTTAAGGCCACAGCAAGTAATTTTTATGGATGACATCCGCGCGCGCATCAATTTTCGCCTGATTTTGAAAAAAAAAAAAAACACAAGAAATTTTGTTGCCCTCTGACAGTGGTCTACATGCCGAAGATGGGCAAAGATGTATGTTGCCATGCCGGAAGGTGGATGGCAGATAACTATGAAGAGAGGAGACAAGACAAGGCTCTGATTTTATGTTTTGTTTCTTACTTTGATGCAGTGATATGTGATGCTGGCTGTGTGTATGTGATGTTCTCACTGAATAAAAACCATTTGTACAATGATTGAGTCCAAATTGTAAATTGTAGAAACCTTATTTTTTTCGGCCCGCCTTATTTTTTTTCGCCCGCTCGCATTAGATTCGGAGTCTGCAGAGGATGTCATCCATAAAATTTACTTGCTGTGGCCTAAAGACAGCTGCAGTCAGAACGTTGATTCACGTCACTTTAGATAGACTGATTGACTTGAAATGTAGTATTTGTAAATGGGAAACTTCCCTAAGACATTAACAGCATCATTCTGTTGACAAAGACAAGGGATTTCTATCCGCAGAATCCCCGATTCTATCAGATCGGAGTCTAGATCTCTATCGTGACATACGTTTGCACTTACATAAGACCTCGCGCCAGTAACGAGAACTAACGGTAATTTATGGATGTACTATACATGTATGTCGCCTAGTAGTAATATTTCACATATGGTACTCATGTATTGTAAGATCAAGGTAGCCATTCGAACAATTAACTTGGGGCTGCACATCTAATAAGTCTCCTACCTCTGAACTGACACCTGTCTCCCGTGTACAGGTGCTCGCAGGTGCAGGTGGAGCGGTCATCGCTGCAGGTGCCGTGCCCAGAACACCTGGCAGCGTTACACTTGTCTTCAGCAAATATGGCAGCAGCTGAAACATATCGTAGTCAGATATTATATAGTGTGAACCTCCCTACCATGATTCAGAACTCTAGATCTTAAACAAATCTTAATCTACTATAGCAATAGACAAAGGAAGCAGGCTACAATGAAACAAAGTCGTCTTATGGAAAGGTGCCCGGTCACGTACCGTCATCTATGGTGACGTCAGAGCAGCTGTAGAAAACGTAGTCGCCACCACCGGCAGTTGTCCACTCCGCCGCCTGGCGGGTTAGACGGAGAGTGCAGTTCGCGCACGCTGAGCTGAACTGCACGGTATAATTCTGCCTCCTGATCGTGGTTGAAAGAATCAGATTAAAGTGCAGCTTTTAGGGCTTGAAGACCAGATTTTTCAAAGTCAATATTATAGCCACGTATCTACATACTAGGTTAAAACAACACTGTCCCAATGCTAAATATTCTTACGAAAAATAGTTACTGGAAGGACCCGGGAATGATTTTTAGGGTACCACCCAGAAAATAAAGACTCATCTTGAGGCTTGTTTCTACAGTTTTAAATGCCTAAAGTATGAAATGCTGATTCAAATGTGCTAATGGGGGACAGTATGTGTCAATATCAAACAAATTGCCTTATTCACTATATTATCAGTTTTGCCGCCCTGAAATTGCATTGAATGCCTTTAATGACATGTAATCAAGTATTGGAAATATATATATTTCTTCACAGCGACCACACTTTTTCTACAAATTATCTACCAGACTGGGACTGACTACATTCTACATGGGCTTGTGCATACGTTTTGAGTGTAAAAATCTCCTTCTCAATTAAAAATGTAGACCCCTAAACTTTCTGATCTCCTTGTATAAAACTCACGTGGCGTCGTCAGCCCCCGTGTAGCCGTTCCCGTCATCAGGAGTGAGCAGGGCGGGGTTCTCGTCTGATTCACCCGTCAGAAGCTCGAGTTTGAACCCGCCCTATTGGAAACATAATCAAGACGACACACGCTATTGGCACACGCAAATTAAACCATTGGCAACATTAAGAGTGTAGGCACAGGTGGTATGTATGTTGTAGGGCCTGGCCGACAAGTCTTTAAATATGGTATAAAAGACAACAAAGCACAAAAAAGTTAATGATGGCACTATTTGCGTATATTCTTGATAAAATTGTTGGCTTGTCGTTAATCGAAACAGCCCGGCCGGGCCCCGGTTTGGAAATATTACCTGTAATTAATAGACTATAGTGCTAGTGCAAGCTTGATCATGTGCATGTACACATGGATGTACAAGCTATTCCTTTGTTGTGACCATATACTTTAAAGGTCTTTATTCATGTAATTCATGTGAGTTTAGAGAGAAGGTAACAAAAGAAGCAGCGAGTGGTTCGCAGGTTAAAAAGCCGTGCAGAGTATGCGTGCTTTGCGCGCCATGGGAAGAGAATGCCGACATCTGTGTGACTTACCGTGTGAACGTAAGCTTCGTGCCACTCCACCACTACATCCGTGTTCAGGGGCAGGTATGTGATCTCCGGAGGATCTGCAAAATTCACAACACGCGAAAAGTATTATTTACATACGAATAGTAGTAAGTTTGTTTTAAGTTTTAAGTGAAACTCCAACAGGCCTAATGACTGCATTTCCACCCAGTTTTCTTTTGTATTTGCCTGTTATTTTATGTATTTTGTTTACATCCATGTGCAAATAAATTGACTAAATTAAAACTAAACCATTTTTAGAGATGTCAATAAATTTTCATGCCACCTTACCCAGTGCAAACATTTTCACTCACTAAACAAAATCACCTTAAACAATAGGTGATTGTTCCGTTAAACTTTCTTCTTTTACCTGTACCTTAATTTACGCATGCTTTAAGATGTGCTTTAAGATGATTTTTTTTTTGCAGTGACTAGCTGACCTGAAGAAGCCATGCCACACGGCCCCTGGGTCCCGTGTACGTTGTCCAGAAAGTCGAAGTCAAACCATCGGGCGGGCGGGAAGGTTAGCCGGACATGTCCGTGCACGGTGACGGCCAGCCATGTCAGCACTACCCACGCTCTCACTGGTGTCGCCATGGTCTTATCGTGTGGAGAAACAGTTAATGTGTAACGCAGAGAACACAATTCGCACAAGGGGCCCGACCGGGCAGCTTTTGGGAACGAAAAGTACGATATAAAAGACAACAAAACACAGAAAAGTTTTTAATAATAATCATGGGCACTATGTCAGTATATTCTTGACACGAGTTGTTAATATTCCGTACATACAAATAGCCCGGCCGGGCCCCGGTTTGGAAATGTGACCTTAGCATAAGACAAAGATCTGGATAGATACTAACTTTGCTTTGTATTTGACTTAAATGCAATGGCTGAAATGTTCTAGGTGAACGTTTCTGAGGTCTATACATTTTAAAATGTCGACACATGAAAACGCTGTGTTATCGAAACGGATATTCATTCTATATGGTAAACGGTATATAATACGTTTAAACAACATATACTTGCCAATACTTGCCAATACATGCCATACTTCGCAAACCAGTCTAAGAGACCATAAAGTACTTACGTCGCGTGCGAGTACGTATACGTCGCACGAAAATCTGACTTTCCAGAAACAAAATACCCCTTTTAACTAATAGTATGAAATATGATAGGGGCGAACTAAAAGGCGCAGAACCCTATCGCACTTTTAACACACATTTGTACTGTCTCCCTATGCGTTGTATATATGAATTCTATATACACCATCAAGACAACTGCATTTGACGTCAGATCTTAGCTTGTCCTCCCCGATACTTTCAGTGAAAAGACGGCCTACCTACAGGGCATCACCATTGATAGTCTTTTGCATCCTGTCGGACGATCTACATAGTATATCCGGCGCCACACGGACCATTCTATCCCCCCACACGGGTGGCCTTTCACCCGCCCACTCAATTAGTGAAACGTGTAGAGTTCCGTTCTAGATTGTGCGGCGTCTTTTATTTGCAGAGAGCGGAGCCATGTTTGTTTGGCAAAGATGCTGACGTTTGGAGATGTTTATCTGCCTACTTGAAGAACAGGTGGCGCCTGTTTGCATACCTGGGAATTGTTTGACAGTTTCCTTTGTTCTCTGCTGGTGTCCCCTTAACTCTGTGATTGTAACTGTCTGGTGGACGGAAGGCTCGGGTTAAGACTGGTCATGGTAGTTTTCATGATCAAGTCATGTAATGGTGCTAAATTTCTTCACAAGTGGCCACTGATAACAGATAGTATCCCTTGACACTTTGGATGTGTAGAATGGCTTCAAATTATACGAGACTTTTGCGCCCATTTCTAGCCTCAAACTATGATTTTTTCTGAACGCTTATGCATCAAGAGGAACAAATGATCTACTGTATTTTGTACACTTGGGGAGGGGCCTGATTTAAGATACGTTGTTTAGATGGTCTTCAGAGATGTTATCGCACATAGTGCTTCAGCAGTTAGCACGGGTCAGGGTGACAGTACCCTGTCAATCATGTCACAGGAGACTGCTTAAGAGTCTGGCAAACGCATCTTATTCAATATACGTAGTTTCATGACCTACTAAGAATCAGAGCTTGGATAACCCTTTAAAGTGACGATCATGAAATCACGAGAAAGAGAATGCAAAGTTATTTGTTTTTACGAAAGGATCTTGATATATATATATATATATAAACAGTCCTAGCTTGATGTGTGTTGGTTTAAAACTGTTTAATATGTCTCTCGGTATCTATTAAGCCCCTGTCACACATTCAGAACCTCCCACCGAGTCGTGTGGCGTTCGACTCGGAACCAAGAGGTCCCGGGTTCGAGTCCTGACATGCCACTGATCATGTGCCCTTGGGAAAGGCACTTTACACGACTTTCCTCAATTAACTCAAGTGAATATAAGTATTGTCCTGTTCTTTATTTGACCTCTATTTGCGTTGGTGACGGCATACGATAAATTGATATAACTTGAGTGTACTGTCACTATGTCTAGTCATGAAATGTTGGTATAAAAAAACTCCCACCAACCAATATTGCCTGACGTTCGGGATGCGTCACATGCGTGACTTCAAAGTGCTATTTTCCTGTACCCAAACCAGCTCGGAGTATCACGAAATACAATCTATCAGTTAAGTACGGGAGCGTGTGTATAAATCATCTGTTTGTGCGTTTTAGACACTTTTCCTTAATCAGACACTCGCACATAATTCATTAATATGTAACTCAAAACTTTTGCTGTTTTTGCATTTCATGGCTACAGCAATATTTCGGTTCGGGAAATGGCACAAAGAAAAATTTATCACTTGTTGATATGTAGATACACGCGGTGTCAAGTCAATATTGTATGTAGATGTTCATTTCATGTTTCGTAGTTCTCTCTGTAAGTAGATTTGAGTTTGAAGGCACCAGATATACTGCCGAATCTGTTTGTTAACATGAAAACAGGGTCCTCTAGCGTGACAAATAAGAGGATAACAACATTCCCTGTGCTAGGTCAGGAGCTTCCATTTGCGTCACATGAGTTACGCCTAATGCACAAGTACGGCTTAGTTAAGCCTAGTCCTGTCAGATGGAAATAACGGTGGTAATGATTTGGCACGAAGGGAAGAAATGGGAGAAAATGTCGTCGCGAAGGTCAAAATCTCCAAGGAAATGGGTTGATTTAGTGTCTCTTTATAGTTATACATTTTTGTTAGTTCGATGTCGCACGTATTTCGTTAGCCGGTTACAATTTAACGTATACTTGTCTATTTGTTGACAAGAAGAAAGGTAACGAGCAAAATGACATCTTATACAAATACAAACCAGCGGTGTTCTCTTCTTCGCAAGCATTTTACTTCAGATTTAGTACGTTTATACAGACGTACAGTGGGATTGGATAAGTGTAAGCAGGGGTGTATTGTCCTCAGGTAAGCTCTTAACATAGATGTATACTCGTAACACTGCATCAACGGCAAATAGCTATAGATTTTGATATTGATCCCAACGCTATTTGTTCCTTTCTCGGCGGGGGCTACTTCTATGCAACAAGTCTAATTCTTCTTGGATCAGCTTTCCAAGGCCGAAGATTAAGAACTAAACGTCATTATGCAACAACAAAGACATGTCACACAACCCAAGAAACTCAGAAAAGAGAAAACAAGACGTTTACACTAACCTGATATTCCCGGTTGTACGTGCCCGTCCGTCCGTACTACTGTAGACCGTGTACTAGCCGAACTGAGACCACAAAAGAGGCGCTGCCTTCCTCACGGCTGTTTTAACACCGCCTAGATCCGTATTAGGGCGGCGGCTTTGATGTTTTTGTGCGCGGGGCAAACCAGAGGGTATGTTGCCAAACTTCTGCTGTTTAATCAGTTGTCGAAATCGTTTCCAATTTGGCGAAAGTACCAACGACACCAGCGTTGGATACGGACCGTACCAAAGAGGACGTTATGAGGGCTTCCTAATTTTTCGCTCCCCTCTTATTTCTAGTACTACCCCCTTCGTTTTGCCGTCCCATTTACGGTCAGATTTTCGTAAATCTTAGGGTATAAATGCACGAATTTTTGCCATGTTAACTTAGTTTCTTTCCTATAGCTTTAACCAATGTTTTCCAGACTTGTCCACCATGCACCTACAATGATTGCGATTTAGAACAACTTGGTGTCTCCGGTCCTACCTCTTGAAGTGGAATGTTCCGAAAATCGATTCAAAAGGTCGGACGGTATCTGATAGCACCCCACAAACACTCCACACAGACTCTGTAGTCACAACACCTTATTGACGAACAACTCTAACACAAGGACACTTATTTAGATCAGAACGGATGAAAAAAGGACGAGTGTATATTTTCCTTGAGAAGAATGTGAAGTTTACGTAAGGTAATCTGACTCAAAAAGCAAAGTGAATTTTTCTTGGGACTCAACGCCTGCCTCTTAGAGTTTAACAAGCGTTTTGTTTGGCCAAAACATGTTTTGAAGGATAACGTTCAGTGGTGAGGCGTGTTGTTTTAGTTATAAACACGTTAAAGTAAAGTGGGGCTTTGTCGGTGTTTTACACGTTTCTCTTCAAGGTCAAGTTCGTTGTTTTATCAACACATATTTCTGAACTCAAAGGATGCCCTTTTCAAGTGACAGTAATTAGTGTTGTCTTGGGGATAGTAGGCAAAAATAAGCTTAGACTGAACAATCGTGTACAAACTATACTACTCCTGAAGTCACGATTTTGCTATAGAGCATTTTGTTATGAAAGGTGTCAGTTGACTTGTGGACATAAATACAAGTCTCGATGAGTTTCACATGAACACAGTGCATTTGACCCTCACGTAGTTGGTATCGTAAATCTTACTGTTCATAGTTTAATTATAACATTCATACTTTCGATTGATATTTACCATATAGATATATTGACATCTCGTTTAATATAATAGATACGCTTTTAATATGATATACGGACTTGTAAATATATGATATATATATGACACATGATCCAGAAAATAGACGGAAACACTGACTCTCCCAGTATACTGATTCAGACATCGAGTCGATTAATAGTAGGTAGTTCTATCACCAAAGGTAGCAAACGTATCACAAAGCCACGCATTTAACTGAAAACAGCACGTAGAATTACCATAAAGTCTACCCTTGTTTCAGGTCATTCGTACGTTTACGAAAGCCATTGATAGTCATTCATGAATTATCTTTTAACATTGCATGTTTAGAAGCGATCTATTCTTTATATACTACTTTGATCACTGTGTCTAAGTATGTTATATGTATTCTCTCTAAATGCCGCACTGTTGTACCTTTAGCTTGGACGGTACAGTAGCTTTACTTTACTTTGAGGGAGACAGAAAAGGTGCTGTGGTCTTGAGAGCCCGCCATCTTGGACGTTGCTTTGGACAGGAGCCAAAAGGTCTTTGATCCCTGGAAGAGAAGTCACGTATCAGTCAGACTATATTGCTTTACATAGTTTATAATCATAATGTGATAACAGAAATACGCAAATTTTGGGGGAATGATTAATCTTTTGGAGAAAAGAAAGAAACAATTAGGTTCATTCTTAGGGCAATTTAATGTTTTACAAGTTTATAAGCGTGAGTCCTTACCCCATAAAATTAAAACAGGATTCCCAATTCTAAAATCCTCCTCGTGCAAATTGATTTTCTGTATCTATACCGCACATCCCCTTCCAACATGATCCAATTATATCTTTATTAACATTTTATCTTTTCCACCACCTCGCCTGAATGGCACTACGTGTAGTGGTTTGCATCTGTTTCGAACCTTTTCCAACTGGGATAAAATTATCCGGATCGAGCTGAATTGATTCTCTTTGATCCGGATAATTTTATACTAGTAGGAAGGGGGCCTTCTTTAAAGATGTTTATGTAGATACCTATGGGGTCATGAATTGATGTACAAGTAGACTTCTATCACGTGGTTAACACGGGCGGGGCACGACCTGTCTTAGCGAATCACAGTGTAAGCTTGATCCGCCCTAACCAATCGCAGTGCAGATCTACACGTGCTCCTAAATTTGCCGCGTCTTTCAGAATTTCTCGGCCCACTCAAACGAACCACGGTAGCGACCGGTCGGAAAAAAAACGGTTTTGTGTTGACCCATTTTCCTGGTATGAATGACCACAGAGGTATGCATAAAAAACAAAAACTTTTCGTAATACGAAAAAGTTCTGAAATCCAGACAGCTGCAGTTGCCTCATCGGAGATCGAAAATAGGGTTATAGAACAGTGAGAACACTGACTATAATTTCCAAGTCAGTGGTAGAACAACACTTACCTTCATGCCTTTAGGGACGTCCGCCCGCGGCATAGTTTTGTACACACCAGTCAAGACTAGTTCTTCATTGGTCGCCCCGGAAATGTGGATCTTATTTCCTGAGTGGTAAAACCAATGATTATGCCAGAGGCAATTCGCAACGTAAGTTATCAGTAAATACTAGCGGTACTGCTCATTAAAAGTCATATATTGCTATTATCTAGCTGTGGGTGCAATTTTAGCGAGTGTGGCAATTAATGCTGCTTTCCATCTCCGTCTTGAATATAGAATATAGTGTAGTCCAATAGCAGTAATTTTGAATACCCTTGTTCCGCGGAGCCCACATATATATGTGGGTTGCACATACAGTACCATCTTTATAGTACCATGTATATGTCATTGAATGATTTGGCCATGGGGGTATTTCTCGAGCAACGCATCACACCGCAGCGAAACGCAACGAATGTGGAAGTAACTACGCCACCGCGGGGGCAAAACAAAACGTCAAGGGAATATGACCTGATTAAGAAATCAAATTATTTGAAAAAAATTTGTAAAAAAATGCCAGCAGGACAAGGGTTAAGAACGTTTTATGACACAAAACCAAGCAAAATGATAGGGTATTTTTTTGCTGTACCTTCGCTGGTGGTCTCCAGGGTCTTGGCGGTAGTGACGGTATCTCCGAACACCTGGTACCGGGGCCGCTTGTACCCCACCACTCCTGCTACACACGGACCTGGGGAAACCAGCACGATATTCCAAGGGTTAGAGACATATTCGACAATACTCTGTACCTAAAGGCAAGAGGTAGCCATGACAGCATCTACACAAAAAGAACGTCCGGAATGCGATCATTAACTTAATTCATATCGGATTGATGGCGACATTTTTCTCGTCAATCAGTCACAGAAGTCACTACTGTTCGATAGCGTTTTTATAACGTGGTCAGCATTAGTATTAGTTAATGTTTTGGGGTGGTGAGCCTTCGACGCACTGTTATGTCACGATCTGTGTATTTAATAATATGTTAATTGTATTTTTTTGTGTGGCGGCCCGGTCGCATACGTAGTGCGACCATCGTACGATCGCAGACTGAGGGCATTCTTGGGATAGTGATGTAAGAATTAGGAGAGCAGAAACAGAAAGACACTCCTGGTCCCGGGCTGGGGATCGAACCCACGCCTAACCCGGACACACCCCGACGCTCTAACCATTCGGCTAAAAGATCTAGACCCATCGGCCAGATGAGTTGGTAGCGCCTATACTGTTACAGTCGTACATGTGACGTCCTGCAAATTCAGTTGTCTTGTTGCTAAGAAGATCCTTGTCGACAGTTGGTTCTGTCACCGCCAACTTGGACATTGGACGACAAAATCGTAAGAAGGCATACGGTGAATATCATCTAGCAAAAGAGATGGGTAGATTCCGACCTGTATTGATGCCGATGCGGAGCTTGATCTTACAGGAAACATGTACGGGGTCGAACACCTCGGCAGCCGACAGGAAGTGCAGAGCGAGCGAGGCGATCTCCCCCGGGTGCTGGCCGTCATTTACCGTCGGCAGCCCGGACACCACTTCGTACGCACCTCCTGGGGAAAAACATAGAGGAATGCCGTACCACAACTCTTCCCCCTTCCCCAGTCTTTACCCTACCTCAGGCTCTTCGTCCCTCTCCTACTCTTACCCTAACTCAACTCTTCCCCCCTCCCCCAGTCTTACCCCAAAGCCAAACCCCTACCCCAAATCGTCCCCCTCCCCCTTCTTCCCCTACCTCAACTTTTCCCCACTCTTACCATTCCTCGACTCTTTAACCTTCCCCAGTCTTACCCTACCTCAACTCTTCCCCCTCCCCTACTCTTACCCAACTTCAAAACTTTCGCGCTTTCGTTACCAAGTCTTTCAGCATTCACGTTATGAGACGAAAGCAAGAAAATTAAAGATTTGAGTCCTCTTTTTAGCATTTTTTCCAAAATCAGAGGCACAAGTGCATTATAGATATGCAGAATAAATGTAAATGTGTAATTAAATCTTATCGACGTTTGTTTACAAAGCAGCATATTGGTACAAATCCGATAGTTGTTTTAATAATATTTACCGAAGGAAATCATTATATTGTTTTTGCTCTGTTTCTTCTTCCTCTTTTTCTTCTCGTTCCAAACAAATAAGGTCAATGAATAGGACCAGGCGTCTGTAACCATGGTAATTGGTGTTGGGTTACATCATGCTGCAATTTCATAGCAGGAGGGGTTTAGACTCCTGTCACCATATATATGAATGTGTTTGAGTAAGAGTTAGAAGAGCAGACCGTATGTGAAGGTAAACATAATATATTTGCTTTACAAATGTTACGTTTCTAATTAAAATTGATCTGACCTGAGCCGTCCAGTTTGGTGGCGTCGTACTGGTCTATGACGGAGTCGAAGGTGTGGTACAGGCGGTTCAACAGGTCAATCAGCTGGTTGGACGACAGCGACGCCGAGATACGAGCAAAGCCGACGATGTCCGAAAACATGATCGTTACCTGAAAAACAAGTTCGAAGATCTTATACCTCCGTGAAATACCAAGAGTTCCTTGTTTAATTGTAGTTAATTAATTAATATGAAAATAAGGTGACATGTGTCCATTAAGCTGGTGTGTTACGACGAAAGGCGGTTATACCGGCTATACAGATACAGATACAGATACAGATTAATTGACTACTTTAGGTCATTCCACGGTAAATGTGACTATTGAATGAACATATGGAAAATATATAACTGCGAAAACACAAACAGACAGACCAAAACAATACCTGCCCCGTCATCCAATGTTGGTAGATGGCTGGAATTCTGAACTCTACTTCCCGTGTATTTCCTGTCACTACCGCAACTCGGAATGACGGAATTATCAATTATTTTCATTGACACAATAACGAGGTACGCTTACCATGTCGAAGTATTTAGGCGGCACGGCTTTGTTTTTCGTCATGCTCTGCGCGATGGATTTCGGGAAGATCTGACACAACAGCTTCTCCGCCTTCTGTCGTTCTTCGTTCAGCTCTTCCGTCTGCTCGGTCAGTCGGGAGGCGAAGGACTGAGTGTCGTTCGCCATCCGGTAGATTCCGGATGTGATCAACAGACTGGCGACTATCACCAGCACCAGAACCACGATGTCTATGGTCACCTCCGTGCTGCTCTTCTCCACTTTGTCGTCTGAAATCGTGATGATTTTTCCTGCCAGGTGTTTCTCCGCCTCACGGAAAATGCTGATGTAAGTAGTCATGTTGTCGAACCACTTCAGGCCCTCGGCTACAGCCGGCGTGGTTTTCTCGTTCTTGAGTATGGTCTCGCGCATGCGGAGGATGTTGTTCTGTAGCGTGGTGTTTTGGAATTCTCTGTCAAAGATGGCGACGGTTTGGGGAGAGTACCATCGTGCTGCGTCCAGGAAAGACTGCCCCCTGTACCTGGCCTCGTGGTACCGCCCTTCGTCTTCTTCAGAAAGCCCTCCTTTGAGCAGAAAAGAAAAGGGTATACATGAAAGTAACTCATCTCCTAGATTTTACAAATAACTCCACTAAAATGTGCATGGAGAAAAGGGTATTGGACATATTTTAAAGTCTGAAGTAGGCAGCCCGTTATGTGTGTGTACAGACCTTCGTCATAAAGTGTACGTATACATGCATAAAATATGGCGATGTGTAAATCCTGATGGTTAAAGCTGCAGTACCATGAAATAACGCCCCCTACCTTTTGCAAAGTAGATGCTCCCGACAGCTCTCTCCAGTCCGATGTAGTCTTTACTGGTCAGCATCATGTGATAGGCCACGGATGTTGTCCACAGTTTGCTCGTGTCACCCTCGCGAACCATGTCTCCCACGTGCGACAGGAAAAACACGTTGATGTTTGTGTAGAATCTGTGGTAACATTTACAAACCTTTGATACATCCCGCAAGTTTCGGGTACGAAAATATTGGTATGAGTGGCTGAGCTATGGGTTTGTGTGCCTGTTTGTCCGGGAGGTAGACAAAGTAGACAGCATGTGGGTGGAGAAATTGACAGGCAGAATGACAGGAGGTCAAATAGGTCAGACACAAGAAATGGTCCTGGCCATGCGACAGCTGGAATTAGAGGAAGACATGGGGGAATTTAAGAAGCCAAGAATTGCAAGAGGGGCCTACCAATACACTCGGATCGAAGTCTGAAATCTCTGAATTCATGTTTTCTATCAGAAGTTTTATATATGATATAGCCTTTCTATGAGAAAACCGTGTGGCAAAAAAAGTGATGTGTTTCAAAAACCTGCAAAACGCATTTTACTGTACTCAGTGACTCACTCGATTTGTTGACCGAATGTCGTCTGATTGGCCAGGAGGACCTGCCTGTTGTCCCGGATGTAGCTCTGCAGGTTTTCACGGCTCTGAAACTGCCACGGTTCGTCACGTGACACCCTCGGCCACTTCTTGAGAGCATTCAGCACCTCGTCCGTTTCTTCGTACATCTGTTAAGGATGCGTTTCAGAATTACATAAATCCTTCAAAATGTCAAAACATATGCACATTGTGTTTAAGTGCTGTAAACATACAGCGACAAACACTCGACAAAGTGCTGACGTGCTAATTTGTGTTAAAATGTCCACATTAACATTTAACAAATCAAATTTCAGATCGCTGAATTGAATACCTACAAGCAATATACTGTACCTAGCTAGCCAGTTGGTATTTTTTACTGTGACTACTACAACAGAGAGACATTAGAATTTCAAGTCAAAATGTTTGGCGACCGTCAAACACAAATCGTTTATAGTTTGCAGTTTCGCTGACCATTCTTGTTTTTCTTCTACCCCAAAATTCACACAATGGCCAGTATTCTCGTTTTATGTTTAGTCTGGTATAACGTCATGTAACGTCATATAGAAACAAAGTGTACGTGGAAAATTTGCCATCGTGCTATCATGTATCAAGAGCCAACCTAATACCAGCCCAGAAGAGAACAAGAAATAGCCATGCCTTCAACTTCAAATGCCAGAGTTATCAACCAAGGATTGATGAGGTCTTCAAGAATTCATTCTTCCCTAAAACTATCGCAGAGAGGAACCAAGTACAGTAGGGGTATTATTATTAGACAGCTTTAAACAATGTCTAGAGTTAGATGTTCAAGGGTTAGGTGTACAAGTCGTTCTAATGTAGCCATCTGCCTCCCCGCCGCGTGCCTGCGAAGCTGGTGCGTTACGCCGAAGGGCAGTTATACTGGCTATACTGATACAGGCAGATACAGAATGGCTGACCTTGATGAGTCGTTGATACACGGTCGGGTCGCCTTCCGAGCTGAGGTACAGCGCCGTGGTGCCTCTCTCCACCGCCAGCTTCACGGCGATCAGCCCCTTCTGGGTACTCAGCACGATCTCATCCGACACCTTCTCCCCCACCGCCTTCTCCGTCTGCGCTTCCTGGAGATAGATGCTGTTCTGGATCAGCATCCCCAAGATCAGGACGGCCACAAGGCCGAGGATCCGCAGGATCTTCAAGCTCTTAGATTTCTTAGAAATCGCCTCCACTTCGCTGGGTTCACTGTTTTTACCGTTAAATAGTTTTTCTACTCGTGTTGTACTCCACACCTTGTTGGCGCCATTCCCCGCCATGGTGAAGACTAGTTATGAGACTATGACGAGAGCTTGCAGAAATCTGTGATACATCTTTGTGAAGTTGCTGTTGCGGGAGGTTCTAATTACAAAATAGGGGTGTAAGGTACAGAGAAAAAAGTGGGATTTTCTTGCAGTTCCAATCACATCCAATTGTTTGAAAGGAAACGCACATTTTCTTAATAATGTTTAAGAAAATTAGCAACGCATACTATCATTTGAAATCAAAGTGAAGACGAAAAGGTACAATTGGCATTGTCCTACTACTATGGGTCTTGAATTACATAACACTAGGCGAAACACTGTTTCGTTTCTCAGGCAAGCATTGCATAAGATCCATTCAGATATTTTCCCCAGTGTAACGTTAATGGACTGTCCTTAGATGGCTCTTTCCGTTCCGTGAAGCGTGACAAACTGTCGGCTTTTAATTCGTCCATTAGGCCATGTTGATTTGATTATATGGATGACATCCGCGCGCGCATGAATTTTCGGCCGTTTCCAAAAAAAAAAATTTCAACCATACTGTAAATCGTACAAAACAGTTGCAAAATGAGCAAAAATATACCATAAGTTACAAAAAAAATTAATAAAAACTATACCAATGTCGTAGAATGCCAAAATCAAACGAAAAAAGACGAAATTGTAAAGAAATGAACTTGAAGACTAGATTATTCACCAAACCATACTCTGTGCCATTTGCTCAACCCTCATGACCACGTAGATTTCATAATGAAAAGAACTTTTTTTTTTTTGCAAAACTTTTTTTTTATTCGCACGCGCGCATCAGTTTTGGGGCTCCCGGAGGATGTCATCCATATAATCAAATCAACATGGCCTTAGGCTGTCAGCACTTTGCGTGTTCAAACGTGAAGCAGGGTGGTACATGACAAATCCTTGTAAACAATGGCAGGACAAAATACTACAGAATTTTTAATCCATATTTATATCTTATCATTAAAGAAAAATAGTTGCTGAACCTGACCCACCTCTATACAATAATATGGATGCATCAGCCGTTCATAGCAGTTTGTTCTTAGAAAGCATGTGTAATTTAACCTGGAAGCTTTGTAGAGAAATTACTAGATTTCACAAAAAATACCTGTCAGAAAATCGTTGCCATGACAACACAGTTATTAACTTATCTCAATGATATGATATTGTTGCCAACTATATATTAGGAAAAGGTCACCAAGTTTGGTGGCTCTAGATAGCTCAATCCGGGTTAAGTTTTCTCAATGTATTACTTGAAGTTATTTACAAAATCAGAATCTGCATTACAATATAATGTAAATACACCAACTGATCATGACGTGATTTGTAATGGAATTTCCTGTCATCATCATTCAAGACTTCATCACACACTAATTGACGCACGTTACGTCACAAGGGACATCTACAGCTCTTTGTGAATGTCTTGTGTGGGATTTAAGTCACACGCAACACGCTATACATGTATAATGGGATTTGTATTACATGCATCATATATTGGAGGAAAGCCTTATTTGAGCTAGGCTATATATTTTCTCTTGGTAAGATCAAAAAGACTAACTGGTAGAAGAAGCTAGAACAGCTAGAGTTCCAGATGCCGTGTGTACTTCTCAATGATTTGTACGATTCTCCAGTTATGAGTTCAATTGAGTCTACAGTCTTGTCTCCGTGGATGTTTGTTCTGTAAGGTACTCCAAGGAGCGATCTGAACAAACAGTGCAGTCTCTCGCTTCAATGTCTGTTGTTGGTCTGTAGTGAAGAAGACGAATCTGACAATTTGATGACCTCCTCTCACCCCTCCAACCACGCACGAGATCAAAGAAGCTTCTACTTGTTTGTGAAGATTCATTGTGAGGTTTCCCATAAATTACCTCAGAAGCAGAGTTCTCTCCTCCAAGAGAGGAAAAATTAATGTTCTCTTCCCCAGCGGTATCTGGCACATCTTTGACGCATTTTCTTACGTTTGTAAAGTTTCTTCGTTGAAAGAGATTTTCGAAGCGTCTGTAAGCAAGATCTGCGATCTTTTGATTGATGGATTTTCCTTGTACCCTCTCTTCGTTTTTGACAGAATGATAGGCCTCGTCCAAGATGGCGAGGAACATCAGGATGATGATGAAGTTAAAGAAGAACAGGAAACCAAACAGCATTGTGGGTCCCAGAATCCCGTGCGCGCCCTCTACATCATAGTAGTCAAATGATCCAAGCATCATTTGTAACATGGTCTGCATTGTGGATATGTACGAGCTGTACCCTTCTAGAGAGGCACCGAGCAAAAGGAACGCTAACATCGCAAACGAGGAAAACACGATGGCAAATATGAGCATGAATCCGCACAGAGGCCGAGCCGCCATCTTGGTGACCTTTGCCCCACGTTCCACAAACTTGTTAAAGAGACACAGTTTTAGAAGTTTCAATGTCGCGACGCAAACCAGACAGCCGAGAACGTACGTGTTTATTTCGTACCAACTAGCGGCCTGGCGGTACTGGTCGTAAGTTGTTTGGGCTGTTTTTTGACTCCCTGGTCTGTTGAAGTCGACGAGCAGGTATGACGTGTAAAGTGTCACCCCGATCTCAGCAAGAGACAGCATGCAAACGCACAGGTCCACAACGTTCCAAAACATCTTGAAGTAGCCCGGTCCTAGCAAAAGTAGTTTTCTCACTGCAAAATAAAGAATTTGTTTCAGTCAATGCACATTGACAAGAAAACAGTGATAAAGGATTATGGGAGCCCAAGAGTAGCAATATTAAGAAAGTAAATATATGCTACAAAGTTTGTCAAAAAATGACAAAACGCAAAATGACTCAATGAAATACGACGATGGAGAATTAGATGTTCGATTGGTTAAATCATTTCTAACAAAATAGAAAATATGATAACAAGATCAAAAACTTACTTTCTTTAAAGAAGTAGTAGAGGGTGACCAAGACGAAGATAATTTGAAACCCAAGGATAACGTAACTCCAAGTCGTTGTGTACATATATAACCTGACCGTTGTTGCCTAGAGACGAATATGATTAGTTAGACTTGACATACAGCAGCTAGTGTAGTTGCAACACATTTTAACAGTTACAATTGCCTAAGGAAACACATGGAAGCTTTAGGTGGCTACAGTTTGTATATGGTGGACAAATTTCCCCGGCAAATTCAAGTTCTCCCCATTTCTTATTTTCGGCCGTGGTTGCTAGTCTGGTGGGGACTAGAAATTTGTCACGTTATAATAAAAATGTAAGTAAAAACGCAAGTAGAAAAAGCTAAAACTTCAAAAGGATAGATATACTCTACCTTCACACTTGTATCCACCTTTCCCCAAGCCGTGAACTCCGCCAACATTAGGACGACGGAGAACAGGTTACAGTTGGGATTGTACACGATGAACTCTATAAACACGGCTCGGGTTTTGTGATCGATCCAACCCGACGATTCAAGTTCAGCCATGGTCACGTCCATCTCGGTAATGTTCGTGAGTTCTGACACGTAGCCTCCTCCGTCGTAGAAGCCGTGCTTTCCAGGGTGAGGTACCGCCGCTGGAATACAAGACAACATTTGAAATTTTTCGGGGTCGTGTGGCGGAACGAGAGAGCGTTCGTCTTGGAACCAAGAGGTCCCGAGTTCGAATCCACCGATCTTGTGCCCTTGGGAAAGGCATGAATTTTCGCACTTTACCCAGGTGTAAATAAGTATGTCTTTTCATTCGTTTGTGTGCGTTGGCGGTGGCATAGAAATTGCAATAAAAATTGTATCATGCACGAATAGGAACCCTAAAGAAAATACATGGATTTGTTTCGCAATCAGGAGTCCTAATGAAAATACATGGATTCATTTCAGTGATGTTAATTTCTTGTAAGTCTTGGTAGAGCCTGAATAGTGGTTATACGAACATGTTGAGGAAAACCCTTTATTCTTGAAACGTCGTAATCAACAAAATTCAATTATGGAAAACATTGTCATAATCTCCAAGCGGATTCTTTTGGTGGAAAAAAAATCGGCAATACAGTATCCATAGAGACAACTGGACACTGCCTGGCCAATTGGAAAGTCTTGCCGGTTGGCTACGATTTTACCACCGAAAGATCTGCTTGGAGATTTCTTCGACATACCTTTCAGCGAAGGTCGACGATATCTCCATGGTGACAGGTTGTCAGAAGTGTCCACAGTACTAAGGCTGCCATTGATAAGGTCTGGTCTCAGCCAACCAACGTCATAGACTTCGTCGTCTTTATCCCACATGGTGTATGGTGGGGTGCAGTGGTCAACAATTTCAACAAAAGGCTCCTGGACGCGACATGCCCCTCCTTCAGTAAAAGAGGACTATTGTCAGCATTTATTTCATTCCAAGTTGTTCAAACAATGGTGGTTTTACATGCATGTGATATTGGTCAATACAAATGCACAACGAAAGTAATAGAATTATGATATAGTGCGAAAAGTTTTAGATAAAATACAGCGAAGCATAGTTACCTGGACTGACTCGAACCTGGCGGAGAGTTACAGGACCTACAAGGTACGACACTCTGTCCTGCAGTACTCCATCTAAGGGGAAGGTGTCGCCGTTGTACCAGGACGTTTTCCCAACTTTTCCTGGGAGAGACGTTTTCATGTAGTCCCAGAACCCTTCAGGGGTGAAGATCTGTGCAGAAAAGAAAAAAAGCGCGGTGTTTTAAATTATCACCTACATGTAAAGAATATCATTGTTCTGAAGTTGAACTAAAATATTTATTACAAAGTCGTCATTCTAGCCAATAAGTAAACCCTTCTACTTACCCCTTTAAACGAGGATACAAATATGTTCTCTATATTGCGAGTCATGTGGTACATGTTGGCGTCACGGTTGCCATTGGCAACCACAAGCAGCACCAGGATGTAGAGAAGGTAGAACCCCAGGTCGTGCAGAGCCTGTCGCAGTCCGATCTCCACAAAACGCCGTTCTCGAGCTATGTCCAGTTCGGCACTGTCAGGCGGCGCGGTGTTCTGTGGTACCTGTGGAAAACATCTTAACATTAATCTTTTTAAGTCTACTATTAGAATCAAGAATATACAATGGCTCAGTAAGAATTTTAATTGCAAAAAATATGGATAAATCTAATGACCTTGTGCATAAGGGGGTTGAGATGTTCTTCCTCATCTTGCAGGGGCGTCGGAGGAACATAGTCAATTCCAGCGTCAGGCGTCTGCAGAAAAATTAAAGGCCAAGTCTATGTAAGTCAAACGCTTTATTAACATTCTATCCTTATCTACTTTCGGTATCCTTATATATTGTAGCAGAAACTTTAAAAAAAGTAAGACAACGTGTTCCCGAGGATGCAGATTTGTTGATAGGTGGGTCATGCAGTCTTTTTAGAGTTAATTAAAAGTCCTATCCGTAAACATGGGCATGGTCGCATATGGCGGCGCCCATCTCCGTTTCTGTAGTCCTTGGGTCACACAGGAGTGCAATCACTACAGCAGGCTGTCACAGAACCAACCAACCAACCAACCGCTGCCAAGGACCTATAGCAGTCTGTTCTGTTACAAGACAGCTGAATTTTGTACGGCACAAGCACGACTATCCCAAGAATGCCTTTGGTTTGCGACTGTGCGACGGTCGTAAGACGTATGTGACCATGCCCTTAAGGGTGCATGGAACTACAGCTTCATAATCATCCATGAAATAATCACAAAATGTTGCGTATTCCCGTCTTGGAACACGTACTATCGTGGTGCTCCTGTCGTCTTTGACGAATGAGTACCTCTTTTATGCAACCTTATGTAACTATTACATCACGGACTATAACGACAGAGATAAACAAGTAGCACCTTCATGATGAGTGCGATGAACAGTCCGATGAGCACGATTTTGATGGGCTGTGTGATGAGGATATCGAAGAAGAATGACGTGAGGAAGGTGAGGAGCCACGCCTCCGCCTTCTCCCGCCCGTACTCGAACCCGTACAGGATGGTGAAAAACGCCGAGGCAGCACAGGAGCCCAGCACCAGGAACCAGGCTGGGGAAGAAAAAAACTGAAGACTTAAGGTATGACTACGTCTTTGATACTTTGTAACGAAATGCCCTAATGATTCTCATGATTCTAGTATATGCTTAATTATTAAACATACTGACAAACTGGTTGATACATAAAAATGCACGAGGTAACATGTATGGCAAATGTTGTTGCATTGTAATCTATATCTGTCAAATTCCTTTAAACGTCGTCCGACTGTACTCAGTATTGTACTTCATGTTTCGTTACTTACCAAAGAAAATGAACCACCACGGTAGCAAACAGCCTCTTGGCTTCTTAGAACCATTACCTCCTGTGGAAAAACAAAACAAAACTAGAAAGGCCAATATTTGCTTTGGAGCAAATACAGCGATGGGTTCACCACATTTTACGACATGGCAGGGAAAGAATGGGAAACACAAGGGAAAACAATGATTTACATTGATATAACTATAATATGAAGTAAAATACAACTAAAACAACAGTTGGATAGCTATTCCCTACTTTATTGGTTAGGATTTTTAATTGCATACTGCAAACTGTTGATTTTCAAAATAAAAAAACGTCCATGCCCGGCATTCCAATGCTGGAGCAGGAAAGCTTGAAATACCTACCAAAACACTTGAATACAGACATACTGTCAGTATGGAAATGCTTCTGTGCAGGTGTTAATCAAGTTAAATCCCAACAGCCAATCAGCAAGAAGTATAGAGGAAAGCTGCATGCCTATTGGTTGATGCCCTGCATTCCATTGTGATGACTCATGCCCAAACGTGGTAAACAAGGCAGACTAACACAGTAATACATTTGCTATAACACAGCCAAAAAACTCAAATAAAACCATTCTAAAAGCCTGTATCACAATAATTTAAAAAACGCCTAGGGGTATTTGCCCACTGTACCTCCATACCAAATTTCAGGACCTTGGGCCCTAAAATGAAGAAGCTGAATCCATTTAAAAAATGGCAGGAGAAGGAGGAGGAGAAGAAGGAGAAGAAACATCAGAAAAAGCAATATGGTTTCACCACACCACTTCGTGGTGTGGTGAACCCATAACAAAACAAGTCATTTCTCCAAGCATTCGTAGCTGATCGAATGCCAGAATTGAATGACTTCGCTGAATACGAGAAACACATGATGCTGTACATGCCTGACCTGATTTATTCTGTCCTCGAGAAGACCTGGGCGCACAGTGTCGGAAGATCTGTACTATCACCAAGTTCACGGGAAATACCAGAAGGGCACTCTCTATTCCGATGATGACCTAAAGAAAACAAAATCCAAACGCCAAATGCAATACGAAAATGCAATAGAAAAATGCGCGGGACTCTGTATACATGCATATGATCTATGATACACATGTAGCACACACAATCCATTTGAATGTCTACGATCTTTATTCGCATGTCCATGCCCATATAGGGCTAAATGCATACAGCTGATGTCACGTGTATATAGAAACTTGGTAACATACACGTAGAACGCGTAATTAATGAAAATGAAGGATGGACAACAGGATGGGTAACAATATAGAATGTGACTACTCTAACTACTAAACACTAAATTCTAACTTATTGGGTTTGACTTGTTTTTCTGAGACACTGGAAGACGATATATCAAATACACCAGAACTGTACAATCAAAAATATTAATCATCCAAGACGATGCGGGTATTTCTATATAATGTTAATTTGTATATACCTCTGCCCATGAGATCGGGAGCTGGACCTGGAATCCCATGATGTCCAGGGGAGGAGGCCGGTGGAAAGTTTCTCCCTTCCCGAAGAACATGATGTTGGTTACCATGGTGCAGAGCAGCAGGGACAGGCAGCAGGAGATGCGCTCTACTCGTGTGAAGGTGCTGGAGATGGAGGGCAAATAAATAGACCGGACGTGACTGTCCATCACAATTAGCAGTTCAACCAATGATAGCATAGCAATTAGCCGTTTGACCAATGAGAGAATGGCTCCATGTCAGTGAAATAATTGCATTTGTATGTTTTCATTTTGCACTTGTAAGGGAAATGAGGGGGTTATGGTATCGGTCTATTGAGCAATTCGTACGGATAAGAGTAATAAAAGTTGAATTTGTACTTTCTTAATTAGTTTTCATGGGTTGCTTTGCAAACGACGAAATAACTCTTATGTTTAGATGACCTATATGCATTGTATACGATGAGTAAGTCATTGCTCAAAGTCATTCCTCACCTATGAACCGGTCTACCAATGACAGAGTACCAGAGATGTCCGTCGCGGAAGTCTCTGGACGTTCTTGAGGAGAAAAGTGTTCTGAATCTCGTCAGCTGTTCGTTCGTGGCCACAGGAAGAACTCGCTCCACCTTCCCATCACCCTCCTCTACAGCAAACCATCTGGAAAATGCCACAGACAAGATAATTCGACAATGAAACTAATATAGATCTTCAAGCAGATCCGGAGTAAGGAATCGGCCAAACAGTGTCCATTACCTTAACACCAGTTGGCCTGTTGAATACTGCCCAGTCACCGTAGGATCTGCTTGGAGATTAATGAATCATGCCATCAAGACTATAGTGTACATGTTTGAAATAGTCGTATTTTTGCTGGTAAACGTAATTATAATCACAATTTCCGTCAAATGCACTATCGTTGGATGCCTACTCAGCCGAGTAGTTGTGCCGGTACTAAAGGTTATCTATATTTCATCAACCAGCCTTTTACCATCTACCTCTCTCAGAATGTACCCAAATAATACACAAGACAAATGGATCCTCACGTGTCTCCTACGAAGATGCTTCTCGCGTCCTCTTGCATATCCGTCACGATGATTCTGTCCAGATACCTATTAGTAAGCAATTGCAACATGAAGTGTAGATCAGTAATATATGCGGTGACAGCTAAATGTTAAAAATGAATTAGTGAAGATTTCAGAATCATTGTCTGATTAGTTTGCAGTTGCAATCAGTCGTTGTGCATGGTAAATTTGTTCTTCTGCAGAGATCGCGAGCTTCCTGGCCTTAGATCTCGGAGTTACTGAGATTTTTATATAATGAAAACAATTGTCTTTGTTAAGATTAAAACAAAAAGAGCGTACCACGAAGGGTCATGGCCAAAGTTGTCGTGCCACACGTGAAGATGACTCAGGGCCCCCAGCGGAAGTGACGTAGTGACCAGGAAGGTGTCGACTCCTCCCCGGGCGAACGTCAGGCGGTTGGAGTCCTCCAATGTGTGGGGACCGGATTCTCCAAAATCACCGTAAAAAATAAGAGAAACCTAAAACAAGTTTATATACATATATATGAAATGTATAAATTTAGTATTATAATACAAAACTTAAAGGTTTGGATAGTAGTATGAACTTCAAACGATTATGCTACATGACAGGGCCCATTGTTTTAGTGACTACCGACGGTAAGCTTATTTATAGATGAAAGCCTTGGGGAATTGTAAGTTGTGCATGTGACGCCTACCTTTGCAGTAGTACCAGAGTTGGATCTTGTTCCAGTGAACACCACTATCTGGTACAAGCCGCCGCCTTTTGTAGAGGTGCCCAGAATTGTGGCCCCCATCTTTCAGCGAAATAAAAAAAATGCATGCCGTACATGTTTTGTCAGTTCCAAAAACTGATAACAACATATTCTATCGGTTATAAAAAGTGTTTATAACAACGTATCAGACGGCCATGGTATACAAAGACCTATATGCAACAGTACGGTCATCGCTTCTCTAGGTTAAGTGAAGAGTGGTTTACCTTCTTTGCATCATCCATGTCTTTTTTCCGTCCCCACAGAATAAGAAGCAGATAAATTCCTACGATGATCCCTATTGTAGACACCACGGCAGGGTTGTCGTGGATGTTCTTAAAGTCCTTCAGAGCCTCCAAGATGTTTAGAGAGTTCGGCGCCACGAAAAATTGGAAGTCAGAGCCGAAGGCCGTCAGATGGTTGCAGAAGCAGTGAGTCTGACTCTCACTTGTTAAGGGGCCAACCTATGAGAAAGTTATTAACAAGTGAGATGACAACCAGCAATTGATTAATTGTGGCACAGGTTGCGAAATGTGCTATTCATCTTTCAATAAAAATGTTTCGCCATACGGTAGGGAAAAGATGGCATGTTTTCAATACCTTACAACCATCTGATTTCCACAGGTGCGTGTTAACATCAAAGTAGAGGCATTTAGAAGCGAAGATCTTGATAGTGTAGTTCAAGGTGACGTTATGTTCTCTGATGTCTTGGTCAGTGTCGTCCCAGAATGGATCATCTTCGCTGTCGTTTCTTGGGATGTACATGTATTCCACACCTAGCAAGTAAAATATTTGAAGGCCATCAGAATGCAATAACAGCACGAAGGTACCAGTATGCAATTCATGAAAGTCCCTTCTATTTCGAAATTACGCATATCAGCTGCAGGTTGTGTTGCGAAGGATATTTCAGTTTTGAGACTGCACACAAGTAAAAGAAGTTTCTTTTTGACAGTTTCACCCGTCATGACAGGCATCAGGGCAGTTTAAAGTGCTCGTAATAGTTACTGTGCTGTTTTCTCATTCCGTGGAAAATAATTTGGTCGAACACAATACATACCAAGATAGTATTCTCCTTCCCCAGCCTCCTCGGGCATCTCGTCCATTGGAATGTGTACAGTATATGGATCTGCACGAATGTCCTTTGTATTGTCTATCGGGATACTGTAGAGCTGTTCAGGGGGCTGTGGAAGTGTGTAGGTCCGGTTGAACGTTGACCTGGTCGGCGGGGCCTGGTGACGAAGATATAGGCGGACGGTGGCGTTGTCCTCATCCGGCTGCAGGGTGATATGCACGGAGCCTTCCCCGGTCACGTTAAACTTATGAACCTGCATGTCGTGGTGCAAATATAGTTAGAGTTAGAGAAATGGAGAAGTCACAAGAAATGCGTTAAAGGAAATTCCTTCAATACATAGAATTCTTCTAAAAAATTACACGTTTTTATTTATGAAGATTTACCACTTAATGAACGATGGACATAACAGGTGACCTAGCTCTTTAATCATTATGCAAACCTTAGACCAGACTGTGGTGGGATCTTCGAAGTGCTTAAGGCGTGGCTTTCCTTAAACACCGGACCTCTGGATTTACGTCCTATCCGTGGGGACGTCCCTAACTGAAGCTAGGTACTCATTTTCACCTGAGTCAAGTGAGAAAATAGGTATAAAATTTCTTCCACAACGACTCAGCAGTGGGGCCTGTCAGGGATTCGAACCCAGAACCTTTGAATTCTAAGTTAACAACTGTAATCACAAGACCACCTTGCACTTTTGCGATTTGCGATGTTTCGCCAGGTGACAGTTTACCATTTATGGCATACAGACTTTCTATACATAAGGAAATGACTATGGTGTCTACCGTTAGTAGATTATGGCCAATGGGTGCAGTGGCCGCCCGTTCTGTCCGGACAGTCACCGCCCCGTCCTTCCGCGGCGTCACCACCTCCACGGGCTGAGTCAGGTTGTGTACCGGCAGGGCACCCCGCTCCGTACGGAACTGTAGAGCGGCTACTGACGACTTGACCATGTCGGCGTTACTGGCATAGCCGAAGGGATTCAACGTCGTTTGGTAGTTCTGTAATGAAAGAGACAAATATAAATCTTGAAAACTTGCAAAGGTGTTGATCCCAACGAACGGGCTATTTTACTAAAAAAAATGCACTTGTTGTCTGTCGTCGACAAGCAAAATCATTTTTAGCTATAGATGCGTCAACAACATCTTTCATGCCATGGTCATATGGACATAATTCTGTTGTACGTGAAGAGCAATCGATCATTAAAATGAGCTCACACAGAATCGATCAAAAGACAAACAGCTGCAGAGAAAGAAAGGGTTTGACATGACTAACCTCTGACCCAACAGAATCAAAACACGCCTCCCCAAAAAGAACAGAAGCGTCAGGAATGCGGAACCAACTTCCAGTTTGACCAGCCCCACCGGAAGTGCTGACTATCTGGGCACCCATGTTCCGGCATCTCTGTTTCGTCAGAGACATTTCAAACTCGTCCTGAACAAACACTGTCGGCTTCTCGTTCGGCCTCTTCCCACGAAGTAGAAGGTCATTCACAGTACTCATGGCGTCGATAATTGATGTTGTGGACTTTTGGACCTGCAATACAATGTGTATTCAGTGATGATCCTGGTGTATTTTAGCAAGTGATCTTTATGATAGACTCATCTAATTGCTCGGAGAATGATCACTCTGGCCCGTTGGTTATTGACAAGCAACGGACTTGTAACATACAACTCTATTTCTCTCTCTCTCTCCCTCCCTCCCTCTCTAGAGCTCTCTCTATACATCAATTCTTCATAGTCGACTCAGCATCATAAAATTTCTTTCACATAATTACTACTTGAGCATCACGTGTTTCTTACATTCTGCATCTTCTCTCGATCTACAGCGTCTCCTGTACGGTTTGCCTTCTCCACAGCATGTGATGATCCCGTCATTACATTTATACTTGCTGTAGAAGAAGTTGTAAGACGACGTGACAGTAAGAATTGAAGCAGAACAATATGCAGGTCGACAGATTGATACTGTATTGTTGCTTTCTCCTAACAGCGCATGCATGTAGGCATTGTATTTAGAACAAGCAACTGGATTGCATCTTAACAATAAAACTATAACTCCGCAGGCTCACATCCAATACAAACGTGTTTCCATCACAAACGTGTTTCCTGTACCCGTGATTCAACATGTACTCACCCGTTAACATGAACACGGCAGACTCCTCAACTTTTTCAATACCAAGGTCCTCCGCTGGGAGACTGCGCAGGAAGTTCGCCATATTTGATAAGACACCAGATGCCACCACCTATGATTTGGGCAGAAGTTTATGTACATATAGTTAACCTACAATACAAGTGCAGTGCATTGGGCCACTATAATCTAAAAATGCATTTTCTGTTACTAGTCATGTTAAAAGTGATTCCTTGATTTTGATATACTAGACCTCTAGTATGGTACTTTGGTGGAGTGTTTTTACGGTGTCAAACGGGATTTTTGTGTTTATCGTGACAGAAAAAGACTCAAGGCAAAGAACCATTTATGTTCTATAGATCGTCCAATAACCTTACCTGCGTCTCTGTTGACAGCTGGTCCGGGACACGTGTTGCCTGACTGAGACTGCCTGCAAGCGAGTTGACAGAAGACACGGATCTGGGCTGGAACTTGGACAGGCCGGCCACCATGGCGGTGCGTATCTGGGGTGGTGAGGGGAAGGGTGAACTCAAAATGTGAAATATCATCTGTCATAAACATCAGCATCATATGCTATCGTAAGTCATTGTTAAAGATGACCAGTAAGACGTATAGACAACTTTTATGTGTATAATTTATGTATACACACACTGGAGAGCTATCAAATAAACAAATAATTAGAGATATCATAGTTGATACAGATGTTAGGAATTGACTCTTGAATGTGAAAAATTATTGTTCAAATATCCACTCAACACTAAATGTTAAAATCATAGATATACACGATGTTATCAGTATATATATTAAGTATGATCATAGCGATCTTTTGGTGAAGGAAAAACAGGCACCTTTGTAAAAGACTCAGTCTCCGCAGTCGTCATGTTCTGACGAGCAGAGTTGAGGACAGACGAGACACTGCGGGACAGCTGTAACACCGCCTGGAGGTCTCCTGCCCGGACAAGCCTGTACAGCGTGCTGTCCTCTCCGCTTGTCAACCGTCCGGCAACGGCAGCGAATTCTTCAGCTGGGAGGTCATTGACCTGTGAAGATAGCTCGAAAGTTCACCTGAGTGTGTTGGTAGAGGTCATTCTGAAACTTCAGGTATGAACTGTAGTTTCCAGCAGAAAATGGACTTATCCAAATTCTAGACTGTATATAACGTCTTTGTCAAGGAATGAGCAATCTATCGCTTATGTGTCGTCATGTTATGCAGATAGACGAAGTGACTCGGTGCGCAGTGGTGCAGTCAGAAAATTTGGGTAATTCCAATTTTTTGTCTGAAGAAATTACAGATCATACCTCTTTGGAACCTGTAGAGATGTATGACACCATCCAACACATTTGTGGAACTTTTACGCTTTGTCATCGCTTTTTAAGTACTCAAAATTGAAATATGTACCCGCACCTGTACATACAGCTTAACTGATGACGTCGCTCCTAATGCGTCCGATACACGAATCTTCAGGGTGACGTTGTAGTCACGTGACGGTTGACCAACCGGCAGAAGTTGTGGCGCCATAGTTGAAGCCTAGGAGGTAAAGATCCACATATTATGTATTTCAGAAAAAAACGTCTCATGGTAAATTTAATGGGGGAAAAGCATGTCAGTCCTCCAATTGCAATTCGACGACAGTACAGATGTTCACTTTTATTGGAAGAGACCTTCTGTTTATGGGAGACGACGCAAAGAATGAGAGTTTTAAAAAAGTCTTTAAAAGAGCAAATGGTCAACTCAGCCAACATGAACTCAAAGCGGTCCATAGGGTTACTAACGGCCCTATCTTGGACATCATTAAGATCATAGACCAAGAATCGCGTAAGGCTCATAGAAAGATCAAAGAAGAAGTCCACATCCAGTTGGAACATGCCGAGATGAGTCGTAACAAAGTTGGCAGCTGCCCAAGTCCTATTTACCCCTACTCCGCAAGGAGGCGGGGGAGGCCAGACGGCCAGCACAAGTCTCGACCTAGTCTCGTGTTCTCGCGAGACTATGTCACTCCGTGATCAAGATGTACAGTAGACATCGAAAATTTGGAGGTATCTTTCAAAACAAGTCACTGATTGATGAATTTCTACTAACTGCAAATTGGCAGCATGGTGCCGAAAATGATGACGTTCTTACCGTTCCGCTGTACAGAAGAGAGAACATCTCCCCTGCTGTGGTGCTGAGTGACGCCAGCCTTTCTCCACCTGTGCTGTACAGGTAGGTGTACGTCAGCGGGGTGTCCTGGTCACGGAACCCTGCAGATGTTGGAAAGAATCACAGAACAATTCGTCGTAAGTCTTCGTACGATTTTGATGCCGTAGCATTTTAAGCAGACCGTCAAGTTTAAAACAGAACCAAACACGAGGTGGTTTTACAACAGACTTGTCCATAAAAAGACCGAAGCTGAAATTTTGTAGCACAAATGCATGGATATGCAAAGAAATTGTCATAGATTTGTCCAGTTGCTTGAATAACAACTTCCTTCTTGTGCTTGTGTATCTCATTATACCTGATGTTTAACCTTTATCGATGTATATGTAACAAGCATGCATATCTCAATAATGCATTCAATTTGCGAGTGCAAGACGCACGTATACATGTGACTGGCCCGTGAGTTATGCACCAAGATATATAGGGGTGCACATGTAGTATCAAATCCATATGTTTATGTTTGATGCCTCATACATACCGCTGCATGTTACAGAGAAGGCTGTGACCATGGCTGTTCCTACAGAAGGGGTGACGGTGCAGGATCCTACTGTTGGCGGTTCGTTCGTCATAAAACTGTACTCCGCAAATCCACGTCGACCGTCTTCTAGGGACACTTCGACTCTGAACACATAGTTACCGGGGACCTTCAAAAATAAGAATAGGCAATGTCTGACATTCAAGTACGTTATATTGTGCTAAAATACCATAACACCTCTCGGTATTCATAAAATCAGACAAACTTAAACATAATTATTTTCAAGAAACAATATGAAGATGGTTATGATATTATTATCTACCGTGAAAACACCAGATCGGACGACAAGATCAGGGAGGTGTCTTCCCGTGATGCTCTCGTCGTCCCAGTTCAAATCGCTGCGGCCGAATCCTGCTGGCGCCCGAACTAACGTCCAGTTGTAGGACACACCGCTGTCCAGCTCACAGTTGGAACACGTGGACACTAAGACCAGCCTCTCTGAGGGGTTCGCTCTTCTGTTGCAGTTAGACTGACAACTAAAAAACACATCATTGGCAATTGTGGGCGAACAATATATTTTCTGTGAAAATCTAAAGCAGAATAAGCGGAGAGATATCACATAGCTGGCCTTACTGCAAAGTTTGACACAATCGCTAGAAAAGAAAACAATTCTCTTACGTTTAATGTCATAATTTGGTATAGATATTTCAAAACTGCATACGTTCGAGACACATATGGCATGCTACATGCTAGAGACACAAAAGTACCCACAATAAGTGAAAAATATCATTAAGTAAGAGTCTCACCTGATCAAGACAATAGGCGAACCTTTCTCCACTATCCAGAGCGTCTGGGTGTACCACACGGGTTGTCGTCCCGGATAGCTCACTGTGACGTTGAAGTTGAATGTAGTCTCGCCAGGGGGCATTTTTGTGTGGTTGATGTGTTGGAGGGGACTGGATAGTCCATTGTTGAAGACTTCATCACACAAATCTGCTATAATTTAAAGAAATGTGTCTTTAAATGATTTATAGTTCAATGAAGCACATAGATAATATACGGGTAGCTCGGTCTTTTAAATTTAGTAATTTGTAGCTTGTCATTGGAAGGTAAAAGGAAAAGTTGAATCAAGTAAACATTGCACACAAGTAATGAATGTCGCATAAGAAGTTACCACACCTTTGCTGCGATTGTTTCTTTCTAGCTGTTGCCTAGCCACGCATGACCAATTGTACTTCAACAATGAAGCCTGTATCATCCCATCAGGGTCATAGGAAGAAGAGGCATTCAGCACGATGTCCGAACCTTCAGCTACTGATCTGGCTGCTCCGCCAACAATATCAGCCACTAACGGTGACGGGCTGACTCGGACCCACCGCTCTGCCTGCTGAGACATCTTGAGCCAGTCCGACCGTTCATCTGTTAGTGTTGCATTGATGACCAAAAGGACATTCCCATATGGCAGAACATTCTTCGGGATTACGAGTTCTGGCATTGCCGTCTCTACACTTGCAGGCAACAGAATGGGTACTAGATTATATTCATGTCTGTTCTTCTTCTGTTGAAATGCAGACCATTTGTAGTTGAGTTTGTAGTTTTCGGATTTACATGCCAGGTACACGTGTGCTTGCAGCTGCAGAGGGAATCTCCTCAGAACAGTCAGTGCAGACGACATGTTGGACCCACCGCCACTCACGGACACCGCGGCGACGCACGGGAAGCACCAGTAAGATCCATCCGCGTTCAGACATGTGTGCTCTTTGGGACAGGTGTGATCGCCTCTCGTGCATTCGTCCACATCTGTGTTATTTTTGGGAAAAGATATCGTCATCTTATGCATTTTTTTTGCTCAATATCCATTCCAATACAACACAAAAAATCCAGCTTAAAATTTAGACACCAACAATTATTATACAATTTCTGCTTTGCAGACAGACTTTGATATTCTGAGTAAACTGACACAAAAAATGATTCAGTTACTAGTTTTAGCAGCAACTTTAAATGCTGTAAGAAGGTGTAAACATCAGTAGATGTGAAAAATCTGAAGAGATTACCTGCACAGTGTGTCCCATTCCATTCGTACCCTTCTCTTTCACATGTTGGTGTTTCAGTGACTGTGGAGCTCTGCACTGTTGTAGTAGTGTGGTCAGGCTGAGTAGCGGTGGATGGCACGACATGTGTGATCTCCTTCATAGTAGAAAAGACTGAATCTGTGGTATATTCTTCTGTGACAACTGTACCAACGTAACGTTCATTCAACTGGGTTGTTACATCGTCCTGTCCTGTAGTGAATTCCACTGCGTCAGTGGTACCTCCGTGTGTTGGGTACACCTCTGCCGTTGTTTGTGGTGATTCCGTGACTGCAAAAACATCGGTTGTTCTCCCTTCTGTGGGATATATTTCAGTTTCAACTGCATAGGTCGTAGTCTGCTGACCAAGCGTTGTCGCGTACGCCTCTGTTGTCCATGGATCTGTGGAGACTGCAAGAAATCATAATGATTGTTAAAAAACAGCATTTAGGTCTTAGAAGTTAAGAAAGGGGTTATTTGTATCTGTTGCTAAAAGTACAAGAGAGAGTGAAGAGGCCCACTTTGAATTCTGAGGAAGAAACATTAGAAATACAATATAGCAATAGTGTGGAAACTTAGATTCAGTGCATTAGGCACACATACATGTAGGCGTGTACACACATACAATAACCTGAAATAAGAGTGGTGGGATACGAAGTGCCAGGAAATAGGTTATTAACAGTGCAGGGACAGAGGCAGGGTAAGGGGAGATGTAGCTATTGACAAGACGGTTCCACCCTGACAGATAAAATGTGTATAAATTCGTAAAATCAAGTAAAAATTTGATAAAATAATTAAAACTTCTACATGATATACTTGTACATGATATATAATCCGTGTTGTTTACAAAGATTTTATAAACACACCAAAACGTCTTAGTAGAAACATAATCTCTTACATCCAACAGTTGAAATATCCTGATCATATCCAACTTGATGGAAAGTAGCCCGGAAACCTGTCGACTCAGCAGTAGAGTTTGTGACAAAGACAACAGTCATGCTGCTGCCCGTTGTAGTAACTGTTGGAGCGCTGTCACAAAATCTCCCTAGCAACGGCGCTGCAGAACTGTTCCCGTCATGCACAGCGACATAGTCGAACTCGCAGTCGCCATGATCGGCGAGGTCAAGGGTCATAAAGGTGAGCGCCAGGGTCAGGTTTTCGGTTGCTGTCACGGTCCAACTGCAAACGGTGTCGCTGTTGTAATACCGGGCAGATCCGCTAGACAGGACTCCGGTACTGGACTGGGTGACGTAGAAGGACATATTTCGTTCACATTCGTAGTACGGCTCGATGGACGAAAATGGCGCACCGGTCCCTGAAACAATTTTTGTTGTGCATATGAGTGTTTAAGTAATTCTTCTTATTATAAAGTTACTTTCAGCTATTGTTTGTTGATTAACGTATTCATTAAGAATTACGTAGAATTCTCGTATAACACAAGAAATATTATTTTACTTTCTTATATATCGTAGTATATCGTAAAAAATGCTTTTAGAGTCCCTGAAAATGTTAATTAAGAGCCAAAAGGACCAACTTAACGCGACGCATTAGAAAGTTGACGATTTTGCATCATATTAAACATCTATTCACCTGTATTGCCGTAAAGTTGAACCTCTGCAATGTACGGCTGGAATCCTGACTCGGTTGAGGTGATGAGAAGTTTCCAGTACCGACTGTACGCGACAAAACCGCCGTGTGCCCGGGTCTGCCTTCCCGACATGCTGAACGTTCCGACCGTGGACCAATCGCCTTCAGCCACGTCATTCGACACGAGAAGTTCACAAGAAGTCGGATAATGGTGTTCCTCGAGATCAGTTTGTTCCACAGGGGCTATGACGCGGATTTTGTACAACCAATAGGATTGCTGCATGTCGAGGACTATGTTCCAACTATCGTACATGAAGGGTAAGTTGATGGGGTTCCAAAACGTCGTTGTGTTTTCGTCAAACACCTTGGCGGCGTCAAAAACTCTCACGCCGTCAAAATACGGCGTTCCTGAGGAGTCGATCGGCCAGGACGGGTTGGCAGGTATCCAACCGGAGTTCCTCGCCTCTGAGAGAAAAGAAAGAAAGAAGAAGAAAGGCTAATTAACAGAACGTCAAAGATCAAGAGATTAATAGTTATAATTTAGGGAACCTAACCCATGTAGAATGACAAAACAAGCACCATCATATATATTGTCATATTTGATTATATTATCCATGCAGCTACACACAACAATAAAACATAAACCAAACTAGAGTTCTGGGAACACGTGCCAGCATCTCAGGACGTACGCTCTGTTTTTCTTGATAAGGTTCTACATAGTTACACACGACACCATATTAATTACAAACTTTCCCTCAGCGCGCCAAGGGTGTGTGAAAAAAATTCCCGAGTGGCTACCACAAAAATACTACAATGACTAATTATGACTATATATATAATATAAAGCTAAAGACCCGCCATCGAGTACTACTTCTAGCCACGAGTACCATCTGAACTTACCTGTGGCGGTGAAGACTTCAACTTCGCACAGCGTTAGGAAGTCAATTCTCCCTACCAACTGGACAGTGACGTAACGGCCAATGATTGGCTCTTGACAGTCGATGGTGATGACGTGACCGTGTTCTGCAAGTCTTAGGTCATTGTTCGTCCGTCCACACTCCGGATTTTCTGTCATGTCGAAATGTTCACCTACGTTTACTTGGAGTGTAGTGAGCAGATCATCTGAAACAAGAAATAGGAAATTTTAGGCTTGCACAATGAACAAACCATTCCTAGAATTAATTAACAAATCAGCTAACTACTAATAGATCTAAGAAGTAAGACCTACCGCATCTGTATGGCGACGATTGTACCGCCCCGCCCACCTGCCACTCATCAAGCCTCCAGCCAATCACATCCCCCTGCTGGCACCCGGCCATGACGTCATTAACTTCTGCTGGAGAAAGCACCTTGGACCACATGTTCACCCCCGACAGGTCACCCGTGTATGCCTGGAAAGAACACAACATGTTTGTGATTTGGACTGACGAAAATAACATTACCCACAGTTAAATGATAATTACTGGGTGCCATTGCTTTGGAGCCCTTTAGGATTAAAACTTATGCCTAGCTTCTTCGCTTCATGCCACGTTCCTTTTTGGCGCATCGCAAGACTTAACTTATACTTTGAGAAGATTTGGATTGGTAGATGGTATTTTGTTTGATCTCTAAGGTAGCCAATAGAAATAGTGCGCAAAGTATTGCATAATCATTGCCTTCATTGCGACCTCTGTTGACTTGTACCTGAAACTTCTGGAAGCCCCCTCCCAGACTGTCCTGGTCCTGTCCCAGGACCATGATGCCGTTCGTCGGGACACGATGTCCCACGACCATCCGCGTCCCGTTCTCTTTCACCTGTCCGTCAACGTAGATGTTCCACAAGCCACGCCCACTTGTCCACGTGATGCACACGTGATGCCACTCGCCATCGAGGACGCCAAGGTCAAGCTAAAGAGTAGAAAACACTATATGGTGTCAGGCATCCAATGCAGTTTCATGGCAGCAAAGCTGGATTTTCATAGTCGATTTCCTGGGTATTCTTTTAATGTATGTAACGTTAGTAAGTTAAATCAGCCCAATACCATAACATATTGATATCTATGAGGAAAAAACGCAATATCTTATTGAAGGCTGGTTATAGTTACATGCATTTATGAGCGGTGCCCAATACAATAAAGAGACGCCTCATGACATGTAGCTTGTATCTGGGCTTTTTCAAACGCCTTAAAAGTATGAAATGATGACGAAAATGTGCTAAGAATAGCGTATAAATATCAACATCAGACAGATTTCCTCATCCAGATTTATATTTTGTTTGGTTTGGTTTGCCGCCCTGAAATTGCATTTAATAATTAAAACGTAGGCATGTGATAGAAGAATGATAGGTTACAAAGGAATAATACTGAGCTAAGTAGTGATATTATGGGGTGCTTCACTTCCTCTTGGTCATTTGTCTTATTCATTACCTATCATTTTCATGAATATATCAGTATGCTGCAGACATGAACTTTTATTTTCATATAACGTGCAGATACCATGTTTAGTGTTCATAAATGACCGTACGTACTTGATTGCAGGTACCGGTAAAGCGTTGTGTTTACAAACCTTTGTAGCATAGCGACTGTTGATGAAGAGATGGTGTGTTGTTTGCTGGTTGATGGCGTACAACAGAATCTCATTGCTCTGCTCAGAAGTGGCGTAACTGTAAGTAACATCAGAGGATTATTTCTGTTAGGCCCAGGAGCATCAATAGCTGTTCTTAATCAGACATATGTATTCATACCAATTGATGCTACTCAGTAATAACCTCTGAAACCAACGGGATTTGTTGGCACAATAGAAGAAGAGAATGGTAAACTGTCTGACATACTTCAGTAAATCGTATTAAATTTCAGTGTCAGTTTCAGTTTATTTATTTTACCAGAAGGTTGCACTCAGATCATTTGACCTGTTTTTCAGGTAATTCTGGGACAATATAAGAATACACAATCAATACGAGAAATAATACACAATAAAACAATACAGTATAACGTCTTACCAACTCTTACGTATAAGAAATTAAAGGTATAAAATCTTAGTCTCTAAATCATATCATAGTACCTGATGATCGTTCCAGAGACACCAGCATCCGTACGGAGGCGGAAGCAGAGGGTAAACTCGTCAAGGGTGTCGTTCCCTTTCAGCCGCATGGAGGCGTAGTTGTCAGCGGACAGAGGGGGTGGAAATGTCAGATGCTCCCCTATCAATATTTTCCGGAAACATTATAATCATTAGTAAAGGAAGCTATTAGATATAAAAACACAGTAGATAGTTTTTGCTGATGTTCCAAATGTAAGCACTACTAGTATATATTAGTGTACGACATGTACATGTCAGTACGTTACAGAAAGAAGGTTAAATACAATCTCCTTGGTTAGACGTATTTCAACCTCATGCACCGAGTGAAGGTTGATAAAATGAAAGGTTGTTTTCTGGTCCTTACCGCAGCAATCTCCTCGACCATAGATGCGAACTCTCCCGACAGGGTAGTTCCCTCCCAGGTCCACCTTGAACCATGGGTCTGCCTCTCTGTCGGTATGCACACAATCGCCAGAGGGCGTGACTACACTGCTGGTGTAACCGTCCACTGCGAGACTGGCAGGCAGGCCGGGCCAGGAGCTGCTCAGGGAGGCTGTTTTGCCCAGGGCGATATTTCCACCTTTAAAAAAATGATGAACAAATCGATATCAGTTGATAACAACGCTTACTATCAAACTGTAGCATCTTTAGGTTCATATTGCTGAACAAAGGGCAACGTCAACGACCTCAGCTCAAGTTTTCTTTGGTTGACAATTACAAAGAAGCATCGTCTGGCACCTTTATCATGTTTCAATCAAACTTTTAATCAAAACGTATCAGTAAACTGTGACGTTCTTGTAATATGTAAGTCCTACAAATTGAATGCAAACAAGGTGATGAAAACACTGACGCGTTTTACACCTCCTATTCATTCAATGCTTTTCATCGTGAGCTATTCTGGAACTTGTGACAACTTTTTCTTTATCGCTTGAGATACAACTTTTTGACCTATGATGATGGAATGAAAATTACCTGTACATTTCGACTCTGCTCTTTCAATCTGTTCTTGGTTGAGGCCTACGTCATACATGTGAACACAAGCTACTTTCCCATGGAAGGAACCACCAACTTCGTCCGTGAACCCCACTCGCACAGTCCCGCCCACGGCCAGCTCCGCCCTCCCCGCCACCGTACTCGCCACCTGCAGGCCGCCGTGCCACAGCTGAACCGCCCCCGAGGAGAAGCTGTAAGTGGCGCCGATGAAATTCCAGGAGTTCAGGGTCAGGGCATGTCGTGCCGACAGATCCGCTAGGCGCGTGCCATCACCTTTGTCCAGACTGGCAGGAATGTGTATGGATAAGAATAAATACAGCGCGTTAAAGAGTTATTAAGAAAATCAAACGAGGAATATTTTACTTCGTCCCTTCTTTTCAAAACTGCAGCTGCCATCCAAAATACTGGATCGGAGTGCCGGAATGTACGGAATTCTAGAGAGGGTATGGCAAAAGTCGGCTGTTCCGTACAGTGTTTTCAATCATTAAGCTGGCATAACGAAATTCTGTCCTGAATAGGTATGTATACTCTACATCCACCCTAAAGGAGAATGAATTGGTTGCATATTCTGGGCCACCAAAGACTCGTCACATTTTAAAGTAATCCAAGTAATTGACGTAAAATGCAAGAGAATGAGGAATGACTGTGCTACGGGCAAAGATTCCATGCCTGGTGCTCATCGAGGTAGACTACAATCTAAAACAGGTAGCTTTCCACGACAATCTTAGCAAATGTCTTCGGAATAAAATAGAGTGGATTCATTCCTCAAGCTAATTGACATCTAACACACCGCAATCGTAAGACATATGGATCCGCATAGCTTCCGTTTAGAACTTTTATTCAGCCTGTCGCGGCCGATGTCTTCGACTGTACAGAGGCTAAATATAAACATACGTTTACGAAGTTCTCACTTTTGCACATTTCCAGTGCATATCACCTAGCCTGGGTACCATCCTACTTGTATGCCGGGGCTCCCACACTCGCTTCCCTAACAAGTACTTGTTAGGGAAGCGAGTGTGGGAGCCCCGGCATACAAGTAGGATGGTACCCAGGCTACATATCACCCTGGAACTAGAAAAAATGTATGCGGCTCCAGATGTCTTACTGAGGGACGACTGTAGTGTGATAGATGTTGGTTTATTCGCTTGAGGTATGAACCCGCTCCACGTTATAATATATATAATCTATAATCACACATGTACATCATGCATACAAAATATGCAGTTTATTTCACCTCATAAACAAAGCGCTAGAATCCCTTTGTCCAAAACGCACGCCTCTCCCTTCGGTTAGGATTTGAACTACAGGCCCAGCAGTGCCGGTCGGGTACACAAAGGCCAGTATAGTCATGGAGTTTTCGGTCTTCATCATGACTTCGAGGTCGAATTCGACGTACGACCCGTCAGTAAACATGGCGGCTCCTTCCCGCTCGCCGTACACACCGGATGTGAAGGACACGCCCACGCCGTTTCCATGGTTACCATTTCCGCTGATGTCTTGTAAGCCATGTTCCCTGTTCAGCGGCCACAAGCCGACAGGAGGAACTGGGGGGAGACAGATTAAGAAAAATCGAAAGAAACATATTTAGCTTGATAACAGCGAGTGAACATTATGATCGATTGTTATTTCAAATCAACTCTGCAAGTAATAATGACGACAACATTCGATAATGGTACACGTTCCAGATGAGTCAAGAAAAGAGAATAAGATATTTCAAGATATTTTCTTCATAAAAGCACGCGTTGGCATTGCTTCTTTGACTCAAAGTTGACGAAAACGATATTTTAGTGCTCCTAACTTGTTGGAACAACTTATTCTGTACTATGGTAAAACTACATGTACATGTTAACACGAGAACACAATATGTTACAGTCTATTAGCTTCTACCAGGCTTCGAGGGGCGGCTGGAAAAATAGAAATCGGCCAGTTTTCGGGTGTACAGTTTTCGGGTGCGGCCAAACTGTTCTCTCAAGCGGAAGAACTCCCCTGTCATGTTAGCTATCATTTTTGGCCGATTTCTACTCTTGTCAGCCGCCTCCCAAAGCCTGGTTGGGGCTAACAGTCTACTGCCAACAAAAAGCTCTGTGACTATCAACGACGTGAGAAAAAATATATAGTACGTATTTCCTGCTACTAACCATGTCTTGCATATGTCACCAGGGATGACGGCAGAATAAGAAGCATCAGCATACAAAGGCTTTGTTTTCTCGCCATTTTGTCCGGCCACCATGTGACCCTAGTATGAACAGAACAGGTGACGTTTGTCCACTTAACTGTTGTGAGTCAAATGATTATATAACTGTGCCACTAATGTTACAGATACAGACTGTTTCAAACAAACGTCATTATGCTTACTCACACGGTCTTAAAAGCCTTTTGTCACGAACCAGACAGAGCGCATAGGAAGGTGCCTAGTTGCTAAGTGCGACAGAATTTAGTAGTTCTTGTTGTCACTCATGAGCCATCAGCAAATCATACAGACCTGCCTTTCAGATTCACTGTGTGGTCGTCAATACCCCCATTAATTTTGACGCTCTCGCCGCGCTCTCTCTGCGACCTGAAATTGGTCGGAGCGCCGAGAGAGCGCGGAGAGATCGCCGAGGTCTCCATGTTTGGAATCTAAATTAATGTTGGGGCCGTTGTGAGCTCTCATGGCGCTCTCACTGCGCTCTCTCTGCGCTCATTCGACATTGTTGGATTGTCGTCCTCGGTGATCTTACGGCGACGGGATGAACCGGTTCAAAACAGTCGACGAGTTGGCGGCGCTCATGGCGCTCTCATCGCGACCTTAGCGATCTCTCGGCACTCTCTCGGCGCTCTGGCCAATTTCAGGCCACAGAGAGAGCGCCATGATAGCGTCCTAGTGGAATAGGGGCCTAAGTGAAATTGAAAAAAGCGGAGGGATACAACATGTAGTTATTTGGCAATGGAGCAACCCTAGAGTAAGCTAGCCTGGGTACCATCCTGGTTAGTTTAGGTCCGCTCCCAGTCACTGGTTGGTGGGAGCGACTGTGGGAGCGGACGTAAACTAACCAGGATGGTACCCAGGCTAAAAGTAAGCGCCCCCTCCCCCAAAATGTTCAGTTTTCTTCAACATTATTCGCAAGTTTTAATTCATTAAAACAAAATACCAAAAAGTCGCCGGTATCAGTCAATTTCGTTTGTCAACATCTCTCACATAAGTTGATACTGAAAAGAAATATGGAACTTTCCGGACGTAGTCTTTCTAAAGGTCATGTCACGAAAAGTCAAGGTCAAGCTTCCCTCACAAAGTCACTACCTTCTGGCGATTCCGAAATGACATTCGCACTGTATGAAAAACCACGTTTCCAAGAGTTTCCAGTCCCGCACACGCCCGTGAAATTCGCCGTGTCCTGGTCGCGTCCATGGATTTCCGGGCTCCGCATGCACGGCCCCGGATATTCCCTTACACTCCCGGATTCGTGCTCGCCGTGCACGTGCACGGAAATTTACGCCCCGCACACTTGGCGTGTAGTGGGAAGCGGCTAACAATAAGGGGTAATTAGGTACTGCGTGTATTCATGTTTCAGGTGATAATTACTTGAACCAAAGTTGCCATTACTTTAATCTAAGCAAATTAGAATGATCAAGGATTGTTAATACAACATTTGAACCTATGCGTCCTTGGCTTGATTTATCGTTATGTCGTCCATACGACAAAGCACATTTGAGCGTAGGGCGCCCCGACGCAGGGGTTATATAACCTACTCGGTCAAAATGACCTAAATCTACACTCCGGTCTAAATCTGAATTTTTTATTTTGGAAATAATAGTTTATCCGTGAGGTTCATTACCATGATGTAATCAAACGCTTGACTAAAGGGGTTTGAACTAACGTGACCTGATCAGTTTGTTATGATTTTTAGGTACATGTATGGGTAATAATATGCAAGCTTTACATTGTAGTTCGGTCGATGTGTATTGTGATGTGTCTGACATGGCGGCCATTTATGTGAATAGCCTTTGTGTAAACAAAGGGAGAACTCACAGCGTCCCCATGCCTGGTAAAATACTGAAATCCAGCAAAACAAGTCAACTCTCATGACATTAATTGTGGATTTTGGATACATTTACAAAGAGTAAGGTTATGTTGGAGTTCAAGTGCGGTTTTATTTCACACAGTGAGCGACAAGTTGTGTAATTCTAGAACGAATAAAGCCATGTAATCATGACGAATTAGAATTATGAAGATCATTTGTTTGCCTTGAAATAAATACATTCACACAATCAGAAACATCCTATCATCCAAGTGTTCAGACTGCACAGGCGATTTAACTTAAAACCTATAATATAAAAACAAGGTCGTTGTAGTATTGAACGCGATCACGTGATTATATGATTGACGACCAATCCTATCTCGCTCTCGCCGGGACCAGCCAATAAGAGACGCGATGCTTTGTTTTGGTGGGTCGTTTGAATCTTGCTTTGTCACAACGACGGTTTGCTTTTTCAAAACACGTTTGTCTCGGCCTGCAAAGATTACTAGTATGTTCCTGAACTACAATGGCGTCAAACATTCCGTTCTGTTACTTCGTTTTCGCAACGGAAGAAATGACTCTACTACATGGGCCGACAATTTGCCGATTGAAAGGACAACACCGCAACGAACCAGGAAACCGACAGGAGGAAAGGTAAGCTAAAACAAAGATAATATTATATATACATAATATATACATAATATATTATATATCGTTACATATATCTTAAACATGTTGTTTAAAAACCTTGGCTAAGTTGTGCCTACGGCAGAAATATTTATTTTGGCAAGAAGTGTACACTATTTTTTACTGATTAATAACATAGTTTATTATTTCTACTTAGAAGTACATCGATACAGTTTGTATGTTGCTCAGAACATATGTATTTTTTTCAGGCGCGGATTTGGGATACTTTGAGACGATTTGAAGAAACTTTATCGCCAGGCTGTCGGAGAGTTCAGAAAAGAAAGAAAGAAAAGCGACTGCAGTCACACAGAAGAGGGTGAGTCTATGCAAATGTATATCTTTGCATACGAAAGCCGACAAGGCTCTTGACAATTTGAATTGTTTTCATTACCGAGGGAAATGTTGTGTTTGTATTGTTCCCATGATTACAATGAAAAGAAACAAGTAGACGTTGATGCTTGATGAATGGAGCCTTTTCATCTGGACAAAATTGTTGCTGTCTGACGTTAAAAACATTCGTTAAAAATGATAAATGACTTCTCGAAATGTGTCCATACAGACGTCCGCATCTTTGCCAGGCTTGTTTATAAAACGTCTAGTACATGTACACGTAACTTCAAATGAAATTCAAAAATGCCTTCGACTTTTGACTTAGATTTTGTTTTTTCCATGTCCTGCAGGCCAGGCTGGAGGCAAACAGGCAGACTGCACACCCAGGCTCAGATCTAAAGGCGAGGGTGCTGTGTTAAAGCGCCCGGCAGGCTCCGACGACCCAGGCCGGCCCCGCTGCACTCCCGCCCGGGGTGCATCCCGCGTCCAGCACGCCGCTCTGGTCTGACTGCGATCACAACCGACACCATCACCACGCCACCCCGCAGACAGACAGTGGGCAGTTTTTCCTTCCAGGATGAAAACGTTTCGCTATGGTCCCCTAAAGCAAGGGGGGCCATACCTCCTGGCCTGAAATCTACAACTAAGCCTCATTTTGTAGAGGCGACAACGCAAACTTTACAAAACCGACAGCTTGTCTTTAACGACATTGTAAATTGAATACGTGTTCATGTAATTAATTTCTGAGCAAATGATCTTTTTTTGTAATGACGTCATATTGTTTTCTGCCAAGCCTCATTTAACTTCACGGTAGGTCTGCAATTGTGTTTTTGCTACACGTACATGTATTTTGAAGAACTTTGTTTGAGGCCTTCTTTGTTTATTGAAAATTTAGTCTTTTGACTGTTTGTGTAAGCGCCATTCACTTTCATGATCTGAGGGCTATTTTCCTCTTTTAACCTGATGATATGTCAGTATTAGTTACTTTTTGACATTTTTTTGCTAAAATGGACTTCTATTTGGAGGTGACTGTGATGAGATGTGATGTTAGTCTACTTTTTAAAGTTAGAGAAATCTGTTAATTACCAGTAATTTCTGAGTTTACACTGGGTCCAACGATTTTAAAAGTCTAGTCCCTGGAAGGCTAGTTCGGGAAAAAGCTATTGTTTCTATGTTTCGGCTACACATTTTTGTAAAGTACCAGGATACATTATTGTATAGTGTTAGCATAGTGCATAACGTGTATACACTGTACATAGAGCGTTATTTTTGTCAGTCTGTAAATGGCGATCCTGTTTATACCAATAAAACGATGAATGAAGTATAAACATGTATTACTTTTTTTATGAATGAAATGTGTTCCTAAAACATCGAAATGTGTCCCGAGAGCGGGGGAAGCGATTTCTCGGGAGCGGGAAGGGGGGTCCCCGTAGTGGGTGCAGTGGGGTCCCGAGGACGGGAACAGCAGGGCCCCGGGAATGGGAGCAACGGGTCCCGGGAACGGGAGCAACCGGTCCCGAGAGCGGGGCGGGTTTTGGCCCGGGGGGGGGGGGTGTAGTACCGGCATGTCCGACCCGTACACGGCGAATTTCCGCTGCCGTGTGGAGAATAATTAGGTGATAATTGCCGCTAAATTATGCATATTCCAGCAACGCACGGAGCGGTGCACGGCCATTTCCTGCCGTGTACGGGGATGTACAGGGATCGTGTCCGGGCATATAACGCCCAGGACACGACCTGCACACAAAAAGTGGTTCATTTCCGGGAGTGTACAGGACATGTACGGGACTGGACGCGTTTCGTGTGCAGGTCGGAAACCCCCGGGTTCTACCGGAAACCTAAAATATCCGGGAAAGTGTGCGGCAATTTCTCACACGGAAACTAGGGATTTTGTGCGGTGTCGTATGGTCAAGTTCACCTGCGAATGTTTCCGTGACTGTGGTCTGGATTCCTGACATTCAGCTGTCCAACATCATTGACAGGTGGTGACAGTCAAACATTAGTGTGTATATGTTGGAACTGGAAAGTTGCCATGGGGAGGGGGGCAGTGGGTGGCGTAAGTGTTACTTTTGAGATAGCATCTCATCAAAATTGCTATCTTTACAGAACATGGGTGCCTGGGGTTTGGTTGCTGATACAGATCATAAATTTTTGCCACAAAACGTTGAAAGCTGCAAGGTTTATGCAGAAAAATTAATTGAATAATGTTTTATGTGTGTGTTGGGAGGGGGGGGGAGTCTCATTTGGATTACGTTCAAAAGGCGCTGGCATTTTGAAGTCTCTACCAGGCTTTAGAAGTGGCTGGAAAGAGAATGTCAACTCCTCTGGCATCTTGACCAATTTCTAGTCTTTCTAGCCGCCTCTCAAGCCTTGTAGAGGCTACACATTTTGCATGACCAAATGAAAAAGCTGAGTCCACATGAGAATTGGTGCGTAGTTTTAGTGTTGAGGAGTGTTTTCTGTGAGGCAAAGCCGTCTCTACCGCTGGTCTTCACATGTCAACACTCCCGGCACACGATGTTTGGTTCCCGGAGTCTCGTGGAAGTCAGAAAACGAAGGTTTGGGTTACGTCTCTGGAATTTGACAAACATCATT